TTACGGCTTGGGTTGTGTCATTTCTTCAGCTTTAACTCGAGCAATAATTTCTTCGGCTTGTTCTCCTTGCGAAACCAGTTGTCTCCAGGAGCGACATTCCGCTACCCCCATCTGAGCAAGGAGCTGGGTTTGCAAGTTGTGCCTATAAGTTTCAACCAAAGTTGATTGGGTCATACCTGATGGGCATCGCAATGCCATGCTGCGAAACCTTTCCACATAAGTCTTGATAGATTCTCCCTTCTTTTGCTTAGTGGCAAGAAGAGTCGGGACTGAGACTTCCGTGTCATCCTCGAAGAACCTGGCTAAGAAAAGCCTTTCCAGGTCTACCCATTTCTGAATAGATCCGGCAGGCAATTTCATGAACCACTCGAAAGCAACCCCTTTATGAGTGCCGATGAACAAACGGGTCAGGATGGTGTCGTTTGCTACCACATCTCTAGTTTAAGACTTGAAATAGTAGATGTGCTGATTTGGCGAACCTGTGCCATCGAATGGTTGCAAGGTTGGAGCCTTAAACTTTGGTGGGTATGGAGCTGTGTCCCACTTAGCAGGATAAGGCCGTACCACTCCTTCTTCGCGGAGTTCGCTTCTATTGGCGATTGCGTTAAGGCGAACTTCTAGTTCATCCACCTTAGAGGACTGAGGGTGCAGCTCTTTTTCCATCTCCTTCTCATTTTCAGAAGAAGATTCTATGTTCTGAGCTTCGCGATCCGAATGCTCAGGTGCTTTCTATTTTCCCTTGGAGATTGTCTTCCGGGAAGACTTCGGTCTTTGGCCTTTTTTGGCAAGAAGCTGGGCCAACATGTCTTTCATCTGGAGAAGTATCTCATGTTGTGCCTGGAGCATGACATGATGTTCGTCCACTCTTTTGGCTAAGTCTTCAGGGTTTCTAGTCATATAAACGGAAGCCTCTCGTGCCACAACGGAGCTTGAAGATTGAGATTCGGCAATTGTCGAATGTTCATCATCAGAAATAATCCCCTTGGCCAACCTTTGATAGTCGACCGAGCGGATGGCTCCTGTCTGAGTCCGAGTATGCCGATATACTCCTTCGAACTCATCACAAATTTCCCAAACAGTTGGGGAATGACTTCTTTGCGACTCATTAGAATCAGGATGCGAGGCTTTTCCTCTATCGATCACGTTGATAGTGACCTCAGGATATTCGATTTCAGAGACCTTATTTTTGTGGCGACGTTGTCGTTTGGCAGGTCTAACGACATTCGTCAATCTGTCGAACACGGATTGCCGAGGTTCAGATGTACAGCAGTGACATTCCGAAAGAACTGTAGAAATAAGCCGCTCACATTGGCAGGCATGAGCTGCCTGTTGTGTAGGTCTCCTTCGTGACAGTAGTTCACGCAAATCAGAGACTTGGGAAGAGTCTTGTGAGGTCGAAGATGAAACCCCTTGTCCCTGAGTGGGTAGAACTAATTCTTGTTGGGCATGAATTTTGAATCCATGCCAGCTCTTTTGAACTCGGCGGACCACGTCGTGTTCTTGAGAAGAAACGCGAGGGTCACGTTTTGTTTGAACGCATACTTGTGGTGTGCGTTTGATTGATGGAACAGACCCCTGAGGGTCTTGTCTTGTTTTGGTTGAACGCACGCCTGTGGTGTGCGTTTGATTGATGAAACATACCCCTGAGGGTCTTGTTTTGGTTGAACGCACACCTGTGGTATGCGTTTGATTAATGAAACAGACCCCTGAGGGTCTTGTTTTGGTTGAACGCACGCCTGTGGTGTGCGTTTGGTTAGTTGAACGTGTCTTTAGGGGTCACGTTTTGCTTTTGAGGCACACCCCTGAGGTGTGCATCCAGATTGAACAACGCAGCCCTGAGGGTCGCGTTTAAGTTGGATTACACGATGCTTATAATCGGGCTCGTTACCACGAAGTGTGCGTTCTGGAGCAGAAACGCAGAGTTCGGGCAGAGGCTCAAAAACGCAGTCTTCGCGTTGGGTGAGAGATTGGCTGTTCCGCAAGTGCGCTCGCCGTATGGATCTTCTCCTTCGTCAAGCGGTGTTTTTCTTGGCTTGCTTCAACGCCTTGGCTGCAACATCATCGGCGTTGGTTGTATTTTCCTCCGTCGCAGGCCTCTTATGACCTATGACACACCGTCTTGATGCGGGTGTGCAGTATTTAACTCGTTGAACGAATTTGGAATCTTGACCAAAGGAGAGGACTTCCTTTGGCATCTTAGCAGTAGTTAAGACCTCATTAGAGATCTTGCGGGTGTCACGCCTAGCCTTAGGGCTAAGCGAACCACAGGAGAGGGCTTCTTCATACTTGGCTTGGTCGAACTCTACAATAAGAGTTTCGACGGTTGTTCCAGTGAGGTGAACGTCAAATTGCGTCACTACTTCTTCATCCGAGAAGCTAGTCCCCAGTGGAGTCGCTATCTTGTTTGTGGAAAATTTGCAGTAAAAGAAATGAAAGAAAATTTAATTTGTATTCCTTTGACCTTAATTACAATTAGATTCCGATTACAAAAGAGAAGAGAATGATCTGGATTCTCCCCTTTGTTTAAAACTGTGTTCTTCTAGGTAGAGATGGAGTGCCTCCTTCGAACGCCTGCGTCGAATTTGCTCTCCGTTGACGATCTGATCGTCCTATCTCACGAGAACAATTAACTTGTGTGACAAGTTTGATTTAGAACTCTTAACGAGTTTAAGAACTCAGAATGAGTTGAAAACTCTGTAAAGAGTTGTTGAAAACAGAGTAACCGGTTAGTAGCCAAGTAGATTTGTTTGTTGCTGAAGAATCCTTCGAGATTTGATTTCCTAGCTGCCAAGTGGTTCCTTGATCTCCAGGAATCTCACCCTCTCTGCCAAAGAATCCAACCTTGTGCGGTTTTTTTTTATATCTCCAAATCTTCAACCCCCTTACTTAGTTGAGTAATGCGGTTATTTATACGGGGATAAGGGGTGTAACTAACCCCTAAATCCGCTCCTAAGTGGGCGAAAATCCCTCAAAACATGGGATAAACAGTTTTGAGGTCGTTCAGCTCGTGTTTGAACAAGTCAAACGCCTAAATTGGCGTTCTGGGCCTTAACTCTGCGTCTTAGACTGGAGACGCAGAGTTAGATGTCTGCTAAAGATTAGAAACGCACAGGCCGCTTGTGTTCGGAATCTTAACTCTGCGTCTTAGATTTTAGACGCAGAGTTAAGTGTCTGCTGAAGAACACACAGGTCGCTTGTATGCTGAATCTTAACTCTGCGTCTTGGATTTGAGATGCAGAGTTGGGTGTCTGCTGAAGAACGTACAGGTCGCGTGCGTTTTGAGTTCGAGAAGCGCAGAGGTGGACTCTGTGTTTGGAAGAGGTTGTTGACTTGTAACCTCTTCTATTACAGCGTTGCGAAGACTATTGCTCGTTGATCTTTGCTTTAGCTGTTATGGGGTGTGAAAATCGTCAGATTGTAACTCTCACAGTTAATTGTTAAGGCTACTGAACAGAGTTTTCATCAGTCGTCAGAAGTGTCGTTGAATTGTAACTATTCTCGATCTATGTGAAAAGTTATCCATTTGCAGCTTTCATTTGTTGACATGAAAATCATCTGATTGTAACTTTCATTATTGAAGCTTGCTGGGGATCAACTATCTATTGTGATTTTTAGACAGCCTACAAAGATACTACTCTAGAGTTGCCTAGGAAAAATATAAAGATAGAGAAGGATTGATCCCGACTTAATTAAAAAAAAAAGAAGAAATAAATGACATTATTGTTTTCTGAATATTTTATAAAATAGTTTAATTTTTTGAGTAAAATAAAGAATCTTAGGAGTGATTTTTCATGAACTTTTTTTAGAACATTTATATACTTATGTGGATACTTTTATTATATAAAAGGGTACTAGAGTTAGTATTAATCTTTACTTTATGATTTTCTAACAAAAACTATCAATGATTAGGAATAAATTTCATATTCTCTTTAGTTTCATTCTAGAGCATTTTTAATCAATCATCTTGGCTTATTGGCTTTAATTATTCATCTTCCTTTTACAATACTATTTTTTGTGTTTTTCATTTTCGCAACACTATGCTTTCAAGTCAAGCTCGGTTTCATGTTGGTCTAAATAAAATAAAAATTCAAATTGGATTAAGATTACATTTGTTTCCTATCAATTCAATTATCAAAACAAAATATTAAATTTTGTGTAGCTCATTCAAACAAATATCAAAGAAAATAAATAATTACAACGCTAAAGTTTAGAGTTATAAGAGAGCAAAAACTATCAAAATGGAACCGATGAATAAATTTTAGTAATGAAATAAATCAAACTACTTAATTATGGTATTTAACCACAAGCATTTCACGTCCATAAAACCATTCTAAGTGGGAGTTTAGGAAAAACTTTCTATGGACAAAAATACTTTTGGTATGTTAGATTTTACATTATTTTTATATTTTATCCTAATCAATTTTAATTATAGATATTAGCTTTAATTATCCTATCCTATCGTAATTAATATGTACATAAGCTCAGATTTGATAGCTCCATATCTTCGGGAGAAGGGGTGCCTCCTCACAAAGGGGGTCACAGTGACCAAGCCCAGGCGACTGTACTAGGTGATAGAACTCGTATTAAACAAAACGAATCGAAGAATAAAATAGGGGAATAAATAAGGTTCCGAGAGTACAAACATGGCAAATGAACGAAAGAAAAGGGAAGTGAAAAAAAAAGGTAAATTTAAAATAGCAGGAAACAAAATAAATAAATAAATAAAAAGGTCCTACCGGGATTCGAACCCAGGTCGCCAGATTCAAAGTCTGGAGTGCTAACCACTACACCATAGAACCTTAGGCGTTTAAAATGGCTTTCTTATGTAATTAATTGTTTAAGATATTACTACTATAACTCTTTCATCTTGTTTAGCAATAATGACAATTAACTATATAAATATGAACACAATAAACTTTTACAACTGCAAAAATCAGGAGTTTCATAAAAGAACCGAAAAGGTTAAACAATACAGTAAACTCGAAGAACTGTAACAAATCAACACAAATCCTTCGACCTTCTTTTTCTATCTATGGTTAACTTCGAATGCTCTGAAGCCAGAAGAATCACACACAAGTACACTGAACATAATCTCTCCATAAAATGTACATGTGCAAATACAGTCAACCCCAGTTCCCTATACCACAACAATTTCAGTATACTACTCATTTTCTACCCGATCCTTGCTCCTATTTCTAGATAAAAATCTCCCAAAACCTGATAGCATTGAGTTTGAAGATGTCGGAGATGAAGGAGAGCCTTTCACTTTGCCATTAGAGAGATTACTACTGCTTATACCTGCTGAAGGATCAATACTGGTGTTTAGTATATTAGTGTTATTGTTTCTACAATTTGGTGAGCTTCCGTTGAGTTCAAAATTATCAGATTCGATGATGATATCTTCTACTGTTGTCAATGATTTCAACTGTTGACCAAGAGATGCTATTGTCTTCTGGCACTCTGCTAGCCTCTCAGCAGCCATGGCTAGCTCTTTCTCCTGCAAAGAACGCATAACTTATAGTTATGAAATCAACATGCATGAATTTTTTTTCTTACATGGATACAACTTGACAATGGAACTTCCACAAAGTATCAACTATAACATAATATTCACAAACATGTTGTGTGAGACCATAAAATTGAGACATTCCATAACTACACAAGCAACTAACCCAATTTGGGGCACTTCATAGAAATTGCAATATTGCTGGCAACTTGCTTCAAATTTTACATAATTTGAGAGACCGACATGAGAAAGACCCCATATTTTCCTTATGCATGTTAGAGTTCTTAATGGGATTTGAACTTAAAAAAACATCTAAATAACGAAGGTGGAAGAAAATAATCAATACGCTAAGATAAGATACATGCAAAATATACCTGTTTTACTGTTAGGTCTCCATTTGAGAATGACACAACTCTGAGTTCAGCTTCTCTCCTCTTCCTTGAAAGCTCATCCTCCAGATTCTTGCATTTTTCTTCAAATTTTGTAGATAGTGTTCTCTCATTATCTACTTCCTCTGCCAACAAACTCACCTTATCACTTAGCTTTCTGACATCTGAATTTGCCGACTCAAGCTCATACTCCAACACTTTTTTCTCATCCTCCACAGCTTGTATTTTAGCCTCAAATTCTGTAGACAATGCTCTCTCATCTTGAAGTCTCTCTTCTAACAAATACACCTTCTCTTGTAGCTTTCTAATTTCAGAATCTGCAAATTCTTGAGATAGTACTCTTTCCTCTTCAATTCTGTCCTCTAATACCCGAATCTTTTTATGCAGCTTCTCTACTTCTGTATATGCTAACTGGAGTTTGTATTCAACAGACTCCCTTGTTGCTTCTGAAGCTTCTAGTTTAGTTTTTAATTCTGAAGATAATGAACTGTCCTCAGCTTTTCTTTCCAAAGATGTAAATTTATCTTGCATTTTCTCAATGTCAAGCAGAGTTGAGTCCAGTTGAGACTGCAATACTTTTTCCTTTGCGTCCATATCTGCCATTTTTTCCATAGCATCCTGTTTCAATTCATTAGCTAAGTCCAATTCCATCTGTAATTTAATCAACTTACTTTCACATATACTTAGCTGATTTCGACTGTCAGCCAAAGCTATTTCCATCTTAGCTTTCTCGGTGTCAAGATTTTCAACCTTTTCTCGCAATTCAGCTGTCTTTTTCTTCATAATTTCATCTTCAAGACTAAAGCTAGAACTTCTATGGTCAGCCTCAGCCATTGAAGCAAGCTTCTCCATCTCTAAGAAATCATCCATTATGTCGATGTCAACAGAATTAGTGAGGAGTTTTTCTTCAGGTTTCTCATTATTGTACTGAGCAAGCTCTGTAATTAGAGCCGACGTCCATGAATTAGTCTTGAGATCATTGACTGATGATGGTTTTTGTGCTAAAGTCCTCAGTTTTCTACACTCAGCTTCAAGCTTTGTGATCTTTTTTATGCCTTCCAAGTGTTGTTTACTAGCTGCTTCTGCTGCTTGAGTACTTAATTCTCTCTCTAGTATTTGTATCTCAAGTTCCTCTGATTGAGCAAGAAGCTTCTCTTTGAGAGATGAATTTTCTTTTTCAACAGCTTCAAGTTTGGATTTAAGATTGGCAATGAGTTGGTCCTCGAGCTCAGAATTGTTGAGTTCCAGTTTCTGTGTCATCTCACTGGTAGCATCATGTATTTTTTGCTTCTGTTCTTCCTTCGCTTGTCTTAGTTGTTTAACACACTCCTTAAGAGCCTCATCGAGGTGGCTTATTTTATCTTCAAGGATAGAGTTCTGTTGAGTTGTGGCTTCAAGCTGCTGCTTTAAAACTGCAACTTCAGATTCTGTTTTCTCCCAGCCTGTGTAAAAAATTATAGTTTGGTGATTCATGGATAACTCAACACAGTTTCTTAGCTAGAAACTCTCAGTTTGAGTTAATTTCGTTTATTGGTTATCACAGGCCTATGACGAGAAGACCTATGGAAGTTGAGTGAATTTGTTATAACAAATAATTTCTACGGAGCTCATTGATCCTCAAAGCCATACGAATTTTTTTTTTACAAGGTGCAGTAACAATGTTAAGAATGACTAAAAGCATATGGTTAATGTTTATCTAGAGTTCCTTATGTAGATTAGGCTTCTCAATTTCTCTTGTTAAGAGGGTTTGTAGCTGGCATGTGCTTTAACTTCATAATTGATCAATATTTGTGTTGGTTTGGAGGGTGACGTTATTGAATATTTGTGAGAAATTGAAATAGTTTGTCCAATAATAGGCATTGCACATAACAATACTGATTACTGTGAATGCTTGTTATTTGATGCACACTGGTAAGCTTTGGGCACGTTCACCTGATAGATATCCGTCTTCTTTTGAACTTCGACACTGGCATTACTTAAAATAAACGTTTGGAAAATCAAGTAACATCAATATGCACATAGTGACTGTTTACAGCTTGTCACTTCAGGAGAATGTGAATTTAACCTTTAATACTACGTGTCCTCAAAGAAAATTATTGTTTTCTGTAGGTTCACTAGAAAAGTATAAGTAAAAAAGCTGAAGATGCATACCTGAAACAGCTTCTTCAGCTACCTTTGAATGTTGTTTCACCAAGGCCTCTTTAGCACTGATGTCCAAAATAGCAGCTGATAATTTCTCAGTTAGACTCTTAACAGTTTCGTGGATTTCATTCCCACGGTTGTTAGGTGAAATCTCTGCAGATTCAGCATGATTAGGGGAAGAATCAATTGGGGAACTGTCACTGGGAGAAGCCCTCAATCCCTCCTGCATATCAACCAAGGTTTTAAATATCGGTTATCGGAGATTTATCGGACGGTCAAAATTTATATCGGATAGCGGATACCGGGATATATCAGGGATAAGTAGTATTTATCGGAGTGACATTACCGGATGGTGATATACATAGTATAATATTCTAAAATATAATCTAACCAAACTTAATGAAATATAAACATATCAAAATGTAAATAATTACGTTTTTAGGATCACTAACCAATAGTAGAAACTCGGGTCAGGTCGGGTTTAAAGTGCATTGAATAGGTGCCTGTTGCTCGAAATTAAAACTCAAACCAAAGGCCAATTATTCTGATTTCTGGGCCGAAAATATTGGCCGCTAACTCACTTTGTCGCCATATTATCGGCGATAAGGATCCAAAAACGATAACTGATTTAGAATCGAACTTATCACAGTGGAAGGCCCCCAAAACCAATAAATCGCCCATAATATCGGTTTATCGGCCGATATTTAAAACATTGATATCAACAATACTCTTTTAGTTAGAAATGGCAAGAGGCTATGAGATATGAGTCCAAGCTAAAGAGTATTAAGTGCTTAGTATGATCCGTATAATCTGAGAACACAATGAAGAAAAGGCTACTGTAACTTCGAACAAATATTATGACAAAAGCAAAACATAAGACAGTCACCTTCTCGGTAGCAAATGCCATTTCAAAAATTAGGGACCAAGAAGAATAAGAAAGCAATTACAAGTTTAATAGATCTTTGAGGCTTAGCACAGGTGGTAAGGAGTTGAAGCGGGTAGTGGGAAATCTCAGGTTCAATGCCAGCGGCTAGCCTAAATAAATAAATAAAATTGCAAGCTTGATGTCTTGGCAAAGTTTTGAACAACATTAGGAGACACCGATAACAATTAGGTTATGAAGATTGTTGACATATGAGTAATATGTAGGGACTTATTTGTAAGTTGTATTTTATAGGGCCTATATAAGCCCAAGAGATCTCATAATAAGATTTAGGGTTTTCTCATATATTTCAACTTGGTATCAGAGCCTCCACCAAAACCCTAGCCGCCGTCCCCCCAACCGGCTGCCCCCCTCCACCCACCGAGCCCCCCCCCTCACCGGAAGGAAAAAAAAAAAAAAAAAAAAAAAAATAAAACCATCGCCCCCTTCCACCGAACAGCCCCCCTCGCAGCAAGCCAGCCCCCAACCCACGAGCAGCCCCCCTGCAGCCCTCCTACCCCCACGGCGCAGCCCCCCACCACACAGCAGCCCCTGCCACCCCCCACCAGGCAACCCCCCACAACAAGCCCCCTCGCACAGCCCCCCCACCCCACGGCAGCCCCCCCGAGCAGCCACCCCCACGCAGCCCCCCACTGGCAACCCCCCCACAGCCAGCAGCCGCCCCCACCCCTACGGCACCCCCCCCACAGCAGCCCCCCTCGCAGCAGCCCCCCATCCCCACTCCACGACAGCCCCCTCCCCGACAGCCCCCCCAACAGCAGCCCCCTTCACCCCCCTCCCCCGCGGTGCACCGTGTCGAACCTAGAGTTTGGCATGGATTCCCTCGACTCAGTCCTCGAACTGATGACAGGAAGAGTATATATCTCACATCGATGAGATATATAACTGTTTTTGGTTCTTGTTTCCTCTGAGAAACGAGAATTTGTTTGCGATCCTACTCTTGTTGTGCAGCAGAGGTGCTGCCGAAATTTTCACTGCACACAACAAGGGTTGGAAGAGTAGGTGACCAGGTGTTAGGTCTGAAGCCTGTTCGATGGAGGAGATCATCAAGAAGTTGAACCCTGCGGAGGTGTCAACTTTGATGAAGCTAATGAAGTTGTCGGCTGGTGAGAGCGCAACAAAACCATCGAAGAAGTTGGAGCTTCCGACCATCGATCTGAAGCTGGATGGACCTAGTACGTACCTGAGCTGGTCACGACAGGTGAGATACACCCTTGCAAGGAGGAACCTGGAGGGTTATCTGACAAGAGAGGCGACAGAGCCGGATGAGGACTCGGAAGGAAGAGATGAGTGGAAGTCCACTCACATGTTGGTGTATATCTGGCTCCTCAACTCATTGGTCCAGTCGATCGCCGTCACAGTTGATGGCATTGAGAAGGTGAAGGACGTCTGGGAAAAGTTGAGGAGGACCTATGATGGAGTAGGGAATAACTTGCGGGTGTTCCAGATTAAGGGAGAAATTAACGCCACAGTCCAGGGAGAGCGGACTGTACAGGAGTATGCTACAGAGCTGGAGCGTCTGTGGCTAGATTATAATCATTTTTCCCCCCAGGCTAGCTGCAAGGACTTGGGATGTAAAGAGCGGGAGGCCTTTCTACAGGAGAGGACTATGGTGTTTCTCAAGGGATTGACATCAGAGTTCACTCGGCGAATCGCATTGCTGCTAGCTCAGCCGAAGATTCCCACGCTTGAGGAGGCTGTCTTTGCTATGATCCAAGAGGAGACTCGCATTCGGCTGCAGGCGGGGACATGTGGACTTCCTATGGTGAAGTCAGCACTGGCAGCCTCTAGCAACACTGGATCTAGGGGAGAGACTCGGCAGTGCTACAACTGCGGTGCGGTGGGTCATCTACGGCATGCTTGCACCAAGCCATCCAAGGATGGAGATTCGGGTGGACGTGGACAGTTCGGAGGTCGTGGTCGTGGCCGTGGGGGTCGACGAGATGGAAGAGGAGCAGGGAATCGGGCGAATCTGACGGTAGCAGAGGAAGAAGAAGCTGAGGTGGTTGTTTGTTGTGAAAGTTGTTGTTTTCATTGCTATCGAATCTATTACAACTTTAGTCGTTACAATAAACTCGAATAAAATAAAATAAAAGTTGATCTTTTTATAAGATCTCCTTACACAATGAAAATAAAAAGTTTATAACTTTATCAAACAAACGCAGAGATCGTTTATCGGTCTTCTGCTTGCGTGGGTGTCTTTGCCTGTGCCGGGGTTTATCCGTGGACCACCGTCGATCAGATCTGATTGCTGAAAAATTGGGCAGAGCTTCGTCTATCCGCGAAGGGATCGAGAAAACTGTAGCGCTTATCTCGATAAAAGCGAGATAATTGCTCTTCTTAGAATTACCACAACGGGATAATACTAAGGATTGGATGCGGGTGATGTAGATCTGACGAATCTCTCTCTCTTGCTTTGAAGAACTAGATCCGATCTCTCCTCCTCCTCTCTTAAAATATGTGCACTTTAAGTCTTCAATCCGGCAGGGCTTCGCCGCGGCACCAGAATTCCCGCCTCTCAAAAAATAAGGCCTAAGACTTGTATTTACAGGCTTGAGGGGATAACGGAGCGGTTAAAACTGATCGAAAACCGTCAAAAACACGTCCCAAGTGCGAGACAGCTCGGGGTGTCTCGCACCCGTGCGAGACAGTCTGTACCTTATTTAGTATTTTGGCTCTAATTTTTTCATCTGAACTCGGATTTGAGTGATTCAAGATGTGTTGGAAAGCTGACAAAGAGATCTACAACTTTCATGTTTTGAGTTTCTTCAGATTCTAACGAAATCATGGTCAAAACAGCTCCACAAGTTCCAAGACACCTTTGGGTGTCTCGGCCAGGTTTGTTTTGAGTTTCTTCAGATCTGATTCCCACTGTGGTCGCCAGTTTGTTTTCGTCGAAAGTTGCCTTCATCATTGATTTCATTAAACTTTAAACGTTACAAATGAATTCAAACAACAAAGAATAAAAATTATAACTTTCTTGAAAATAAACACAAGATCCGTTCGTCGTCTCTTGCTTGCGTGGGTCTTTAGCCTGTGACGGGGACGTCGATATCCGTGGACTACCTGGCAATCAGATCTGATCCAGAGCTTCGTCGATCCGCGAGGAGATCTAGAAACTTAAAGCGCCTATCTCGGATAAAGCAAGATATTTGCTCTTCTTAGTATTAACAAAACGTGATAATACTAAGGATCGGGTACGGGTGATGTAAATCTGACGAAGAAACTCTCTTACGTTGAAGGGCTCGATCACTCTTCACTCCGGCAGGGCTTCGCCAATTCTTCAAAATTCCAGATCTTGAAAAATGAGGGCCTAAGGCTTTGAGGGGATAACGGAGCGGTTAAAAATGCTTAAAAGCCCAAATCTATCTTGGAGACACCCCAGGGTGTCTCCACTTGTTCGGAGACACCCTAGGGTGTCTCCCATTGATCCGAGACACTCCTTTTGGTGTTTTTGACGGTTTCCGCCGTAATTCCTTCGTCTGAACTCAGATTTGAGTGATTTGAAGTGCGTTGGAAAGTCGACGAGGTGTTCTATAAGCTCCGATGGTTGGATCATCTGTAGAATGAATGAGGCACGAAGAGCATTGTTCCTTTTGTAAACATCGCGGGGCTCCCGATTAGCCTGTACCTTCGTTAGTTCACGTAGTTCGTCGATTTACTTCAAGCGTTCATCGACATCAATCGAACTCCTGTGAACCGGATAGTGACGTTCATCGTCATTCCTTAACACCGAGCTGTTCGTGGAGACCTATAGGTAATTTTCGATGCCTACAGTGGTCTTTACAGAGGAGGATCGTGCTCTCCTGACGATACTCAGAAAAAAATAGCAAGTAGCAAGGGATGGAAACTTGAGGAGTGGGACTGAGGAGGCATCCACTTCGTTCTTCGCCAGAGGCAACACTGCTACCTATGCTCATCCGACTAAAGGTACTGATGACATACATGCTCTTGCTTCTATGTCTCCTGACAGATCATCAGAGTGGATAATCGACTCCGGTGTGTCTCGACATGTGACAGGTAATGCTAGTGAGTTCTCATCATATACTCACTTAGCATCGCCTGATAGTATTCAAACAGCTGATGGTACATTTCAGCCGGTGGTTGGTAAGGGTACAGTCGATTGTACTAGTTCTGTAACTTTGTCCAATGTTTTGCATGCTCCTTCCTTTCCAGTCAATCTTTTATCCATTAGTTCTATCATCCTCCAACTAAAATGCATTATTTCTTTTGATATTCCCAAGGTGATCTTTCAGGAGAAGGGGACAGGACGGAGACTTGGGACTGGCACATGACGTAATGGACTGTGGTATTTGGATCGTGAAGGGCTAGATTCAGCTTTGGTGTCAATGGTAGAGAGCGCAGAAGTAGGATCTGAGATGAGTGCTGAGAGTGTGTTGATGCTTCATCACAAACGCTTGGGACATACTTCTTTCGGTGTTTTAAGTAGGTTGTATCCATCTTTACTTGAGAAAGTAAATAAAGAGAAACTTGTGTGTGATGCATGTAAGTTGGGAAAGCTTACTAGAAGCTCTTATGTTAGTTTTGATCATAGAAGTTCTCATTATGAATGGATACAAATATTTTGTTACCTTCATTGATTGCTTCTCTCGCGTTACTTGGTTATACCTGATGAAGAATAAGAGTGAAGTGTTTGGCTGCTTTCAAAACTTTCATAGGTATGTTCAGACTCAATATAGAGCAGTGGTGAAGGTATTGAGATCTGATAATGGGACAGAGTACACCAACAGGGTGTTTGGAGAATACTTATCATCTCAGGGAATACAACACCAGACTACATGTCCATACACACCAGCTCAGAATGGGGTAGCGGAAAGGAAGAACAGACATCTTTTAGAGGTTGCTAGAAGTATGATGATCTCCATGAATGTCCCAGAAATATTGTGGGGGCAAGCAGTATTGACTGCAGCGGTGCTGATCAACAGAATGCCCTCGAGAGTACTGAATTGAAAGTCTCCGTGTGAGACGTTGAAAGAAGATAATGGTGGTATTCTTCCACTGAAAGTATTTGGCTGTGTGTGCTTTGTGAAGGATAACAGACCATCAGTCGGGAAGCTTACCCCTAGAGCGGTGAAGTGTATTTTTATGGGATATTCTGCTACTCAAAAGAGATATGTTTGCTGGAGCCCGGTGGAGAAAAGGATGTTCATGAGCATGGATGTGTGCTTTCGTGAACTTGAGCCATATTACACACAGAAGGTACCCTCATCCGTTGGTGACTCGCCCAATACTGGAAGTATGAGGCGAGAAGAGGAGAATGGTAAGAGGCAGATGAATAATGTAGAGAATAATATGGAGAAATCGATTTCTCTAACGATTCCTTGGGAAGGAGAATTGGTTGAGGAGGAGCAGGATAATAAAGAAGAAGAGGATAAGGAGACAAGAGGTGTTAGGCCCACGGCTCAAGGGGAGCTACTTACCTATAGTAGGAAGGGGAAGCAAATTGCAGAAACAGTACCTACAGTGCCACTAGTGCCAAGTCCCTTATCAACGCCTGTCCCGACTCCTGAGACACCTACACCACCATCAGATTCCTCTCAAGGTGATATCATTCCTCTCCTTACTCCTCCCACACCAATGTCAGTACGGAGGACTACTCGCAGCAATGCGGGACATCCTCCCGATAGATATGGTTAGGATCTTGCCCAGTTTGTATCATATTCTAATATTCATCCTGCACATGGAGCATTCATTGCATCATTGGACTCTGTTACTGTACCTAATAATTGGCAGGTTGCTAAGAAGGACCCAAAGTGGAAAGCAGCTATGCACGAGGAGCTAGGAGCTCTGGAGAAGAACCGCACTTGGGAGCTAGTAAAACTACCAGAAGAGAAGAGAGTAGTTGGATGCAAGTGGGTCTTCAATGTGAAGCAGAATCCAGATGGACAAGTTGAGCGCTACAAGGCTCGTCTGGTGGCAAAAGGGTATAACCAGACGTATGGAATCGACTATGATGAGACTTTTGCACCGGTAGCGAAGATGAACATTGTTCGGACCTTGATTTCTCTGGTAATAAATGATGGATGGAAGCTACACCAACTAGATATGAAGAATGTATTCCTTCATGAAGATCTGGGGGAAGAGGTATACATGAAAATACCACCAGGATTCGACACAGATCAGACAATGGGCAAAGTCTGCAGATTGAAGAAGTCTCTCTATGGCCTGAAGCAGTCTCCACGTGCTTGGTTTGACAGATTCAGGAGTGCTATGATTGGTATGGGATACCAGCAGATCAACGCCGACCATACCGTGTTCTTTCGACGAAGTGGAGGCCACATTACCATGCTGGCGGTATATATGGATGATATGATTATTACAGGAGATGATGAGAAGGAGATTGCCCAACTCAAAGTGAGACTGGGTAAGGAATTCGAGGTGAAAGATCTTGGCTTGCTTCGATATTTTCTTAGGATAGAGATAGCTCGAGGAGCTGAGGGGATTATTCTCTCCCAAAGAAAGTATGCACTGGATCTTCTCAAAGAAACAGGGTTGTTAGGGTGTAAACCTGCAACTACATCGATCGATCGATCAGAAGTTCAAACTGGGTGTTGAGGCTGGAGAACCAGTTGATCGTGACAGATACCAGAGACTGGTGGGCAGGTTGATCTATTTGAGTCACACACGTCCCAATATCTCTTTTGCAGTGAGCGTGGTAAGTCGCTACATGCATGATCTGAGGAAGGGTCATATGGACGCAGTATACCAGATTCTTAGGTATTTGAAAAGTGCCCCAGGAAAAGGATTGATGTTCAGGAAGAATGAACAAATGAGCATTGAGGGTTATTGTGACTCTGATTGGGCTAGCTGTGCTGATGACAGGAGTTCCACCTAAGGATATTGTATCTTTATAGGAGGTAACTTGATCTCGTGGAAGAGCAAGAAGCAATCAGTGGTGGCGAGATCAACAGCTGAAGCAGAGTATAGAGCTATGACCTTAGGAGTTGCTGAGTTACTATGGTTGAAGAGTATGCTGGTGGATCTGAAGCTGGATCAATGAGCTAAGATAAAGTTGTGGTGTGATAACAAGTCAGTCATCAGTATCGCCAACAACCCAGTGCAGCATGATAGAACCAAACACATTGAGATCGATAGGTTCTTCATCAAAGAAAAGTTGGATAGTGGACTACTTGAGCTAAGTCATGTTTCAACTAAGGATCAGGCAGCAAATTGTCTGACTAAGGGACTTAGCTCAGTAGATATGGTTAGAGGATGTGACAAGATGGGCTTAGTGGATATCTTTCGCCCATCTTGAGGAGGAGTGTTGACATATGAGTAATATGTAGGGACTTATTTGTAAGTTGTATTTTGTAGGGCTTATATAAGCCCAAGAGATCTCATAATAAGATTTAGGGTTTTCTCATATATTTCAACTAAGATCATCATCTAGGTCAGCAATAGTCCTCATGGTCTTGATTTAATTCACTGCATTCAACAGCATACTACTAAACGTAGAATCGAGAATCAATTCGATGATCTTGTCTTCTGCGCTCACTGATCAAGTTTCATATTACTGTACCAAATTGGGTCCCGAGTAACATAATGAAAGTATATCATCATGCCAGAAAGAACATACGATGAGATATATCTAAAATCAACTGTTTATGCTGCATGTGCTTACTCTGATATCAAATACATGCAAGATCTGATATCTGACAGTTATTCCTAAAAACCGAGAAATGATGAACCCCAGATATCTGAAGATTTAATCGGCCTACTATCAAATATAAGGCAGGTTACTGATAGAGCCAGGCTAACCTTGTAAATGGAGAATCTGCAGATACAAATGGACTCAATAATTAAAAAGAAAGTTGATTACAGCTGCGACATGTAAAAAGCCTGTCGACTTAAATGTAATATCAAAGAGGCAGACTTTTCATATCATTTTAACGTTTCAATATGTTTGCCAATAAAGCAAACGGAATGAGAACATAAAGCTCGAATATACACTACAGTCAAAGATTTAACAAGAGCGTATAGATTTGCTAAGAACTGCAGCAAAATTTGAACGGCCCAAACCTTAAAAATCACATAAACTTTGAACAAGATCAATTAACTCAAACTTAATTACAGATCAAAATGCTGGTAGCATTAAAATTCACCTGATCATCTGAGTATCTCTCAGAATGGGATGACGCCGATCCTGAGCTCTCGGTCTCTCCTGGGCTCTTATCAGAAGATTTCCTTCTCCATAGCCAGCTCTTGGGGTCCATATTTCAATTCTTCAGGCATTCAAGGTTTACTGACGCCCAAATTTCAATATTTAAATCCCCAGTAGATCAAAACTCTCCGAAACACAACAAAAAGCCATAAGATAAACAAGAGAGCTAGCAAGATAAATTTTTTTCCTTAAATACACAGGTGAAAATAGGAACATAATGCAGCAAACAAAACCCAAATAAATAATTTCCCTTCAAATGTCCCAAAAAATACATATAAATCATACCATAAAACTCAAACGTAGTGAGTACCCGTCACTAAAAACCTCAAAAGAGAGCCACCCACAAGCTCAAAATCTCATCTTGGCGAGGATCCATTGAGGACTCTCACTCAGGCCATTGGGAAAAGAAGGGAGGAATCCTTGAAGGAGCTATGGAATGTTGGGATATTGAATAAATTCTTCAAAATATAACCATAATTGATGCAGGGGAACACTAAAAAGCTATTCTTCAATTAGCTTAAGCAGTAAAACTCTCACTTTTTTTGGGAGAACGCATGTGAAGAGGAAGAGAAAGTCACTACTGTTGGTTTCTTTTTCAGTCTTTGGTCAGAGGGAAACCCATTTTTTTAGTATTTTCTTATTCTTTTGAAAAATAAAAAAATTGGGTTCAGCCTTATTCCCGCCAGATAACCCAATTCTTTTGTTTCCTCAATAAAGTTCTATTTTCTATCTCTCTCTCTCTCTCTCTCTCTCTCTCTCTCTCTCTCTCATATGCTTTAAAAAAAACTATTTTCTCTCTCTGCCTGCAGTTTGAGTATTAAATAACAACTCAAATTTTTAGTACTGTGTGCAGGGATTAGAGATTGAGTAGTTCTTATTGGCGATAAACAAGCAAGGACTAGTACAGATAATTGATATTTCAGAAAAAGTTTCTTCCTTGATTTGGGCAAGGGAGCAAAGCTCATAACCTTGTCAGCGGCCCCACAAAAAAAGTCTATTACTTTACTCAATCAACTTCATTTGGTGTTCATAATTTTTTTCATCCTTTACACTTGAGGTTATGAAATTTTTAGAAGTACTGGATTGTTACTGTTCAATATTCAAATTATTAAATTCAAATTCAAAGTGTAATGGTTACTTGTACCTTAGTTAATGTACATGATTTGGATCCACTAGAGCATCTCCAACCCAACTCCAAATACCTATTTTGATGCAAATCCAGCGCCAATTCTTCCTCCAACCCAACGCCAAACTTAGCGTCATTTTAAAGGGGTGCTACAGTATTGTGCCAGGAATGGCGCAACACTGTAGATATGGAGATTTTGGTTTTTCCCAAGTTTGCCCTTATAGTTTGTTATAACAAATTAAATATTCCAATCATATCTCATTTTATAGTTTGTAAATATATAGAAGGAATAATCTTTTTAATGTAAAATTTGGTGTAATGGTTGGAGATAGAATAGTGATTTGGTGTAAAAACTACACCAACTTGATGTAAAAACTACATCATTTTGGATTTTTGGGTAGGAGATGCTCGGTTGTGATATTTCATACTTCTAAACATCAACAAAATCAATACATCGATGGCAACATAATCTGACTAAAGATGCACCTACTGTTTACATAGATTAAGAAACAGACCTGCATTGAGGACATTGGCTTCCTCAAATTTGAGATTTAGTTTCAATAAGACGAATGAATCTTTAGTTTTAAGCAAACCATAAAATAATCTTCATCAAAAAGGGAGAAGGTGGATGTATTCTGTTGACTGATATGATATCAAATTTGTTGGGATTACTTGAACGTAAAGGGATTGCATACTATTTGTAGTGGTCCTAGGGAAACAAGTACATCTAACATAAGTTTAGACAGTTCATATAGAATTAAAGAACATATAATTCACCAATATCATAGTTATGTATACTTGATGTATGTGACAATGAATCATAAAAGCTTTATGCCAACAGAAAAGGTACAAATATCTAGATATTTTGTATTTTGATTTTTGGACTGAACATGATCTGAATTCAAGAGAATTAATGTTAAGAGTATGTTCTTATATATCCAACAAATATATTACATTTTCAATGGATAAATAAGATGATCAATCTAAACTTTTTTGCAACATGAAGCACAAGTGCCAACAAGGTGGCTTCTCTTTTCAATCTCTTATTTAAACACAAAATAGTACAGGTTCAACAGGCATTTTCGTAAGAATGTCTATTTATGCAGTTAAAGTTGTGCAATTAGACCATGCATTTGTAAAGATAGATAATGAAGCCATCTAATAAAGATTGATGCTTTTGTAGCAATTAGACAATGCATTTGTGAGAAAAAATTTGTATTTATCCTCCAATTTTTGCGTTATCATTTCCATTTCTTTAACCATTTGGTTTATTAGAACAAGTAGAGCAATGTCACATATAGAACCAGAACCTGCACAGACCTGCATTTTTCACCAAGTAAAAATAAATTCTAAAAAATTGTTATAACCTGGTTCATAGTCTTAACATTAAGTACCAGATTAAGCTTTTGTTCTTATTGTTATCTCGATATTTTTTCTGTTTGTTCTCTAATTTAAATTACTTTTATCAAAAAAAATCCTAATTTAAAATTTTAAAGGTTGAGAGGATCCTATGTTCCAGTCCGTCTACTAGTTTGGTTTCTGTCAATGAAGCAGAATCTATTCATTTTCTTCTACAGAGTGAATGGTCCTCTTCTTGCAATCCGTCGAAGTGTCAATAGTTCATATTCTTAGTTCAGTGCATTTTATTTTACTTGTTCAAATCTTAATGAAGCCTCAATCTTTATGTGATCTTATTGCACCTTTGATTTATGTCAATTTGATTGCTATCAGTATCCTATGACTTTGATATATAAGGAATTCCTAAATTTAAACTTTAATTGTATCAAACAGTAGCTCTTTATCTCTTACATCCCATAAAAATGATATACTCTAAAATACAACTCTAAACATCCACAAACACCTAGAAATCAAATTTATCGAATATATCATCCATCCTCTTTGTTTTCAATCCAAACAAGCATTATCACATTACAACACCAAACACAACCTCAGGTACTACTACTTAGTAGCTGTAGTTCTTGACATACATCCCTTGCTTGGATTCTTCAGACTCTCCTTCACCTGTGTACTTTCCGAGCTGAGCGAGCGAGTTGGCCTTGGCTCTTATGAGCAGCGCATCCTGAGCGGCCTTCACGTTCTCTGGCCTCCCTCCCCAAGTCTTCAAGCATGTATTTTGAAGCGCTCTCGCGTAGGAGAAAGACACGTGCCATGGGTTCGGGCTCTGGTTCATTGCATTCAGGTTCAGTGTTGCCTCAACTTCAGACTGGCCTCCTGACAGGAACTGTAATTTAGCAAATAGTCAGTTTCTTGAGGTTCAGAATGATGAAATTTCTGTCCTAGAAATTCCCTAATCTTTGTGGTGCTTTGCACAAGACCCTAATAAACATGGGTAAATTCACATGTGACATGTCTAAGACATTTTATGGACTTTTGGATTTACTGCGAGAGTTTTTCAGGTTAGGTACCTTACCTTTCATGTTAACGCTGTTTATGAAAATTTTGAATGGTCCTAGGGCTTTTCCCAAATTTATGTTGGTTTTGTGGAAAATTCCCCAAAGTTTGCAAAACCCCTTGAATTTTGGTGGTTTTGCATGACATCACCATAAACTTTATGAATTAGAGAAATCCTCCTCAACTTGTTTGAGTATGGTGACTACTACAGTTACTTTAAGTTAATGTAACCTGCACTTCTTGGATTGTTATACCTCCCTCATTTATGAAATATAACTTCTATATTATCCTTTTCGGGTAAGGATAGATAAAAAGTAAAAAAGTGCAGTTTAGACTTTTTCCTCCGCATGTTAACTCCATAGATGAAAATTTTAAATAGTTCAGAAAAGTTTTTTGTAAAAAATAAGTTTTAAGGATTTTTTTGGTGCAAATCACCCCCAAAATCAAGGGTTTTTTTTGTGTGAAATTTACCCTTCTGTTTTCCTTACCATGATTCCAGGAACAGCTGGTGGGATTCTTCTGTGAAGGAGCTTGAGGGTGTATTCTGCAACTTGTCCAGGGGTTGCTCTCTCTTTGCATTCAGCTCCAGGCGTGACCATGCTCGGCTTTAGTAGGATTCCTTCGAACATGACATTGTTCTCGGCTAAGTAAAAGAAGACCTCAGCCCACACTTTTTGTGCAATCTCGAAGGTTCTGTCGATTCCATGCTCACCGTCCAACAGTATCTCTGGCTCGACTATTGGAACCAACCCGTTGTCCTGAAATCACATTGACATGAACAAATGATCGTTTTCCCCCTTTTTTTTCCTTATGCATCCATGATATTACTTATTATTACTATGTAATTATAACTGGATTACGAAAACAATTAACTGAGAAATTTTATTATATTTCAAGTAATTCCTTTTCCGCTAGCCTTCATATGTTTTTCTTCTTTGTATGATAAATGCTTGGAATGATTACTTATTACTATTGGGTACTGATTACTGTTGTGTATAGTCATAGTTTCAGTACTAACACAATTGGTTTACATAGACGATATTTCCGTTATAACTGACTTATGATGAATATTAACTGATATTTATGTGAATTTATCATGTTCATGTATTTTCTTTATTGTCAGGTTCGATTTGTTTTCTTCTTCGTATGTAAGCATGATTACTGCTTTAAATTTTTGCTGAAATACTTGAATTATAATGAAAGCTAGCCAAGAAAAATTATGAAATTTACTTGTGCGATGGCAGCATATCGAGCCAGACCCCAAGCAGCTTCCTTCACTGCAAGAGCTGATGGACCGTTGGGGATGCTGACAACTGTGCGCCTGTAATATTCACCAACAGATGTAAGTCTGTGAAAGAACATGCAAACCCAAGTAAAAAAGCAACCGTATTGAGAAAACTATGTATATTCACCATTTAGCAAAGCGTGCGCCTTGCTGATAATAAGCCGCGCATCTTGATGCAAGCCCGTCCAGCCCTTGGCACCAGGATTCGTCGTTCGAGCCTGCAAGCGGCACTAAACCCTGACATACAACGCAAAAGTCTCATGCCATGAGACTTCATAATCAAACAATGGTAAATATATTCAGCTAAATGATCATGTTCTTCCATTCAGTTTTATTTTATTAAGGGTTATCTCCTCCTAAGGGTTGTCTTCTCCTTCAAGTTACATATTATTGTATCATTTTTAACTGCTGTAATCTTATTGCTTCTGCTAACTGGTTTATTTGGCCTCATGGCACATGATCAAACCATCTTAATCGAAATTTCCCCATTTATCCTCAACAGGAGCAAGCTAACCTTTTAGGGTGTCTCCACAAGCCCCTTGTAACATTCTCACATCAGCTACACTTACAAACATTCGTGTAACGAACATTTAAATACCTTGTCGACTTTGATCCCTGGCATTATGTTCTGGCTCGTGAGAACATCAACCATCTTCTTGCCATCAACAGTGGATTGATAGAGAGTTTCCTCGAACAGTATAGCACCTGAAATGTACTGGCCTAGACCGGGAGCTGAGACCAGCAGGGTCCTGTAAGCCTGTCGGTTGGCCTCGGTGTTCTCTAGTCCGATTGAGGCTAGACGTTTTCCGCAAGTTGCATTTGATTCATCCATGGCCAATATTCCTCTTCCTGGTGATGCTATGCTTTTCTGCAACAATTTTTAGTTTTGTCCAAGTTTAGTTGACTCTGTTTTTCTGAACATGTCCTAAGAATTAAGCTCATGTATGCTATGAAGATTTCTGAATGCAAAAAGTTTGGTTGACTCAAGTATTGATCTGACAAGAAATCCTTTACATCAAAAATGGGTCATGTTATCTTTTACTGTTAAACTGTGAAGAGACCTGAATCTCTTTAACACAAACACGTACTGATAATTTGTATGTTGTTGGTGCTTAAAGATTGTACCTGGATACAATTTCAATAACCTGGAATTCTAATCATTGAAGATGGTATACTGATACAATTTCAATAACCTGTAATTCTAATCATTGAAGATGCTATACTGATACAATTTCAACACATAACTCTAATCATAGAATATATGCTTCATGACTAATCTCCAATTCTTCATTAATCTGATGTATGTTTCGTATAGTTACAAGCAACACATATTACAACCTATAAAGATTTCTGATTCTACAAACTTCTGTTTATTCAAGTTTTGATCAAGCACATAATAGCTTCCATGTTTTTTTATAGTACTACTAGATTGAATTCGAAGCTAAATATATGTTAATTCTGTTGTTTGCATACATATGTTTGGTATGTCTGAAAATAACATAAATGATCTTTAAGTACCGACCGCAGTTTTGACAAGCTCGTCAGAGTAAGCACCAGCGCGAACTGTGAACGAGACAGCTATAGGCTGGCTGTTTGATACAGTACTCTTTGCTCCGAGCCATTCTGATTTCCTTGGGAGGAAAGAGGACTTGAGGAGAGTAGCGGATGCCATTTGGACTGGATGAAGGCAAGAAGAGCAAGAAACTAGCCCTCTCTCTTTGCTTGCAGGCTACTGTCAAATGAGTAGATGGTAGTTAAGTAATATAAGGTGATCGAGTGAGGATATGAGATGTGAGGCTGAGGTTGGCCTCAGGATTTCAAAGGTGATGAGTGCATGATAAGCTGCAATCCTTTTGCTTTTTGTCTTTGTGTTGAAAATCTTTCAGTCGGAAATACATGTTTTTCTCATCATTGAGTATTGATTTATTTTGGTCCATGTTAAATGTTTGTGGTCATGTGAGAATTGGTTAAAGTGGGGAATTTTTCTGGTTTGTGTTTTTGTTGTGCCTTAGAATTTCACTAGTGATTGACATGAGACTTGTAATGAGTGGTAGAAATTTTTGTTGTGTTTCATGTGTGAGGACTGAGGAGCTAGAGCTGTACATGTCTGTGTATACTCACAATCATGAAAAATATCATTCCTTAAAAATATTACTGTTAAAAGTTTCCATAAATATGTTGGATCTGGGTGTGTAGCCCAAACTCACATGCAGGCGAGCTTCTCCAGGCGAGGACAAAGCTCAGGTGAGGGTGAGCTCCAGTCGGCGAGCTAGAGATCTCATGACCAGGCGAGCTCGGCAGGTCGTCAGCCTGTCGCTAGGGTTTCCCTATAAAAGGGAAACCCCGGGGCACGGATCCAGTGCTTCTTCTCGCGCACAGATCCAGCCACGGATCCAGTGCTTCTTCTCGCGCACAGATCCAGTGCTTCTTCTTTTCTCCAGCGCTTAGGGGGTTATTCATTGGTGTAATTTGGGGATAATGAGATAATTTTTGGAACATCACTTTTTGGTGTTATTCATTGGGGTAATTGGAATTGGAGTCAACTTTGTAGTGTTATTGGTTTGTTGGGTAATTAGGGGACAAATACTCCACTTTCCCCTAAATTACACCAACTATATAAAGATCCCCTCCACCCCTTCCTCATAATTATCCCAAATTTACCCCATCCTCCATATTGGAACAATGTCGTTCCACTTTGAAGGCAATTAGGATAATTTTAAAATATTTTTATATTACTTAACTAATACAAGCTAATTATATTATAAATATATGATATGATATATAAAATATAACATATATTAATATTTTAATAACATAATTTAATAACATATATTAATAATATTATATAATAGTAATTATAGTATAATATATTTATTATAATATTATATAATATTGTAATAACATATATTAATAATATTATGTAATATATTATTATATAATATTAATTAGTAATTATAGTATAACGTATTTATTATAATATCATATAATATTTTAATAACATATATTAAAATTTTAATAACATATATTAATAATATTATATAATAGTAATTATAGTATAACGTATTTATCATATTATATTATACTAACATATATTAATAATATTATATAATAACATATATTAATATTTTAATAACATATATTATTATATAATATATTATTATATAATATATTAATATATATTTATAAATATTTATTATGAGTTATTATATATATATGACACACTATTATAATATAATATAATGAATTTACTAATATTATAAAATTTATGATATATAGTAATATAATACATATAGTTTGAAATATATATATATTATACTAAACATTATACCTATTAATATATATTATTGGTAATTTATCATGTTATATATATATTATTTTAATTTTAATATAATACTTTTAAAAATCATTACATTGAATAAAGTAAAATATTATAATATTTAATAAAGTACATTAATATTCAATGATAGCAATATTAAATATATTAAATGGTAAATAATATATTATTAAAATATTATATTAAATATATTTATTCTATATATTATATCAATTATATATAATGTAGCATACCTAATATAAAATGTTAATTAGTAATTATTTGTATAACATATTATATTTTTGTATAAATAAAATAATATATTATATTATTAAAATATTATATTAAATATATTGATTATATATATTATTAATTATTATATATAGTATAGCATGCTAATATAATATAATACAATATAATATAATAATTAATAATAGTAATTTGTAAGTATAGTACAATATATTATATTTTAATATAAAGTAAAATAATATTTATAGTATAATAATATACTAAATAATATACTAAACCAATTGGATAAGTTAATTTAGAAGTAATTAATAGATAAAATTATATTTTAATAAGGTGCCACATCATCAATTATCCCACATGAATTGTCAAATCAAATGCTAAAATTATTCAATTATCCCACTTTATCCCACTTTACCCCACTCAAAATATCTCAAAGGGGTAAAATTGTTCCATTGGAACACTTTTCTCCCTTGACCCCAATTTATCTCAACCAATAACCCCCCCCCCCCTAAGGAGTGATTTTGGGGAATTAAAAAGGGACAAATTTAAGAAAAGGGAATTAAAGAGAGAGCATTTAAGAAGAGGAGTTGTATAACACTGTAGCTATTGTGTTGTGTATTTATTGAGAGATCTCAGTTTGAGATCTGTTATAAGCGTTGTAATTTCTTGTTGATTAATAAGAAATTTACTGTGTGGCTCCCGAGGACGTAGGTAGTTGTCGAACCTCATTAAATCTTGGTGTATTTTCTTTATACTGTGTTTATGCTGTTTTAAGGATTTTGACATAAATTCCTAACAACTAGTATGAGAGCCTAAAACGATTTAGAGGAAGTCAGATTCAAGTGGAAGCGATGGTCGCAGATGAAGGAAATATGAGATTAGAGAAGTTTGATGGATCAGATTTTGGATTCTGAAAAATACAAATAGAGGATTATCTGTGTCAGAAAAATCTATATCAACCTCTTTCAGGGAAGAAGCCGGAGGGTATGAAGGAAGAAGATTAGAATCTTCAAGACAGAAAGGCCCTTGGGGTTATTCATTTGACGTTAACCTGCAATGCTGCTTTTGACATTGTAAAGGAGAAGACCACGGTGGGTCTTATGGCAGCACTCTCAAATATGTATGAGAAGTTATTAACATCAAATAAAGTCCATTTGATGAAGCGGTTGTTCAATCTGCAAATGACGGAAGGTGTGTCGGTAGCACATCATCTCAAAGAACTCAATACAGTCACGACTCAATTGAGTTCAGTTGATATTAAGTTTGTTGAGGAAGTTAGAGCGTTGATCCTTTTATCTTCCCTACCAGAGAGTTAGAATGCTACAGTCATAGCTGTAAGTAGCTCGACGAGAAGCAACAAGTTAAAGTTTGACGACGTTCGTGATCTGTTTCTCAGTGAAGAGATCCGATGGAGAGAGTCGAGTGAAGCTACAACCTCTTCAATATTGCATACAGAGTCAAAAGGTAGAAATTCAACCAGAGAAAATAGATCATAGGACAGGAGGTCTAAATCCAGGAATCCCAGCGGTCCAAGGCTATCGAGTGTTGTAAGTGTGGAAAAACCGGGCACTACAAGAATCAGTGTAAGAGTGCACAGAAGGAGTGGGAGGCAAAGACAGATGCAAATGTTGCTTCCACCTCAGGAGAGTGCACAGAAGGAGTGGGAGGCAAAGACAGATGCAAATGTTGCTTCCACCTCAGGAGGAGATGATGCATTGATATGCTCTTTAGAGAGCAAGGAGGAGTCTTGGGTGTTGGACTCTGGAGCATCATTCCATGCTACTTCTCAAAAAGAAATCCTCGAGAAGTATATCTCCGAAAACCTTGGAAATGTATACATTGGTGATGATTAACCATGTGTCATTATTAGCAAAGGTATAGTGAAGATTAAGTTAAGTGGGTCGGTATGGGAGCTGAATGATGTCAGGCATATTCCCGACCTGAAAAGGAACTTAATCTCAGTAAGTCAGCTGGCTAGTAAAGGCTACAGTATGACTTTCCATAGTGATGGTTGGAGGATTTCAAAAGGCGCAATGACGATTGCTAGAGGCAAGAAGACTGATACCCTGTATATGATAGCAGGTGCACATTGTTTGATCTCAGTTACAGTAGGTAATGAGACTTTAAAGCTGTGACACCAGAGACTCGATCATATGAGTGAAAAGGGGATGAAGATTATGCACATAAAGAGAAAACTCCCGGGTTTACAATCAGTAGAGATTGATATGTGTGAAGAATGCATACTTGGAAAGCAGAAGAGAGTTAGCTTTCAGACAAGTGGCAGAACCCCATGAAGCAGAAGCTAGAGCTCGTTCACTCAGATGTTTGGGGGCCAACCACCACCGCGTCTATTGGTGGGAAACACTACTTCGTGACTTTTATCGATGATCACTCTCAGAAAGTATGGATCTACTTTCTGAAGTACAAGTCAGAAGTGTTTGAAGCTTTCAGGAGATGGAAAGCTATGGTCGAGAATGAGACCGGTCTGAGAATAAGGAAACTCAGAACAGACAATGATGTTGAGTATGAAGACACCAGATTCAAGAAGTTCTGATATGAGAACGGGAACAGGATGGAGAGAACCATGTCCGCCACATCTCAGCACAATGGTGTAACTGAGCGGATAAACAGAACGTTGACATAGAGAGCCAGAAGCATTCGTATACAGACAGGTCTACCAAAGCAGTTCTGGATAGAAGTAGTCAACATAGCAGCTTACTTGATCAACCGAGGTCCATCTGTTCTATTGGAGCACAGAATACCAGAAGAGGTATGATGCGGAAAGGAGGTAACCCTCTCACATCTCAGAGGTTTCAGTTGTGTAGCTTATGTATATATTAGTGACCAAGGTAGGAATGAGCCTAATCCCAAGTCTAAGAAATACACATTCATCGAGTATGGTGAAGATGAGTTCGGCTACTGTATTTGGGATAATGAAAACAAGAAGGTGATCAAGAGCAGAGATGTGATATTCAACGAGAAGGTGGTGTATAAGGACATACATAAGACAGATGCCGGTGACTCAAAGAGCGAGTCAACATTTGTAAATACAGATGATGTCCCAGATAACCTCTCTGAAGAACCCAATACAGAAGGTCCTCAGCCAGAAGAGCCAGTTGGATAGAACGGTGCACAGAAGCTCAACACACCAGCTTCGATATTGAGGAAAACTACTCGTCCTCCTGTGCCTAACAACAGATATGTGAATTATATGTTGCTGGCAAATGGAGGGGAGTCTGAAAGCTTTAATAAAGCTTGTCAGAATGGAGATGCGAGCAAGTGGGAGTTTGCTATGAAAGAAGAGATGAAATCTCTGATCTCCAACCAGACATGAGAACTAGCTGAGTTGCCCATGGGAAAGAAGGCACATCACAACCAGTGGGTGTATCGAGTGAAAAAGGAACAGGATGGTTCTAGAAGATACAAAGCCCGACAAGTTGCCAAAGGATTTCAACAGAAGATCCAAGGAAGTAAGAATCAAGCGGATATGTTGACAAAGGCAGTGACCTTTCAGAAACTGGAGTTGTGCGCAACTTCAGTTAGCCTTCATGCATAGGTGATGAGGGTGGAGCCACACAAGAGGAAGTGCTTGTTAATATAGCCTGCTGACGACGATTTGGTCTCCAAGTGGGAGATTGTTGGATCTGGGTGTGTAGTCCAAACTCACCTGCAGGCGAGCTTCTCCAGGCGAGGACGAAGCTCAGGCAAGGGTGAGCTCCAGTCGGCGAGCTCGAGATCTCATGAGCAGATGAGCTCGGCGGGACCCTCAGAGCTCGAAGTTGCAGCAAGCGAGCTCAAGACGTGGTCCAGGCGATCTCGAGCTGGTGGAGCGCGGGCGAACTCGAAGCAAGCAAGATCGAATTGCTACAGGCGAGCTCGAGCTTGAGCGCTGCAGGCGAGGGCGACAGGCTGTCGCTAGGGTTTCCCTATAAAAGGGGAACCCCAGGGCACGGATCCAGTGCTTCTTCTCACGCTCAGATCCAACGGCGGCCTCTTCTCTCTATTCTTTTCTCCAACGCTTTTTTCTCCAGCGCCTAAGCAGTGATTTTGAGGGGATTAAAAGGGGAGAAATTTAAGAAAAGGGAATTAAAGAGAGAGGATTTAAGAAGAGGAGTTGTATAACACTGTAGCTACAGTGTTGTGTATTTATTGAGAGATCTCAGTTATTTTGTTTGAGATCTGCTCTAAGCTTTGTAATTCTTGTTGATTAATAAAAAATTTATTGTGTGGCTTCCGAGAACATAGGCAGTTGCCGAACCTTGTTAAATCTTGGTGTATTTTCTCTATACTGCGTTTCTGCTGTTTTAGGGGTTTCGGCGTAAATTCCCAACAAAATAACATTTTTAAAGGAATATTTTTGCATCCGTCCAGTTCGATACATGAGCTTGGTCAACAAAGACGAGACATAGAGATTCTAATTCCCCATTGGAAAAACAGTTGAAACATTCCTGGATGATGACTCAATAAAAGTTAAAGGTTTTGAGTTAATTGTGTCCTAGTAAATTAACTATTTCATCTCTGTTTGATTGTGTTAAGACTTGCTACTATTGGTTAAGGTGGAGAGAATATGAGGCTGTATATGACTTCGATGTAACTTGGTTTGAAATGGGCTAGGGATGCCTTAAAATACACATTTCGTCGCATTGTCTTTGTTCGTTTACAAAGCGTTAAGTTGAGACACCATCTGCATTAGCCATTTGCACTGGACTCGAGTTGAAAGCAAACGTGGAGATATGTTAGGAGTGACTCACATACATTAGGTTCAACGTGTAGGGTTTAGTCTCACATGAAAAAGGCATGAGATGAGATTTAGTTCTATATTATAAAAAACACTTAAATGAATATATGGTTAAATATGTTTGAGCTTATAACTCAACAAGGATTAATCCTACTGAGTCCTAGAAGATTAAGATAATTCATGCCTGCTCATGGGTCTTTACCACTCGACACTCACTATAAGGTTTAGGGTTAATTGCGGATAGAACCCGGAGTGAGCTTTTTTGACTCGAGATCTATCTGCACCTATGTTTGAGCTTATAACTCAACAATGATTAATCCTATTGAGTCCTAGAAGATTAAGATAATCCATGCCTGCTCATGGGTCTTTACCACCTGACATTCACTATAAGGTTTAGGGTTAATTGCGGATAGAACCCGGAGTGAGCTTTTTTGACTCGAGATCTATCTGCACCTATGTTTGAGCTTATAACTCAACAAGGATTAATCCTTTTGAGTCCTAGAAGATTAAGATAATCCATGCCTGCTCATGGGTCTTTACCACCTGACATTCACTATAAGGTTTAGGGTTAATTGGGGATAGAACCCGGAGTGAGTTTTTTTGACTCGAGATCTATCTGCATCAATAGAGCTACATGGATCTATCCGCAATTGCGCTATAATAAAAGGGGTTTATCTGCAATTAACCCAACCATAAATAGAGAGTTAAAATATCTTTTTATAACAAGGAAGCTCTGAACGCAAATTTCGGAGATCATAAGGCCTCGCCTAAAATCGGCCATCAAGCTCTTATCCTGTGACCACTGACGATTAAGGAAAGTATTTATTTATCCGGTAAGCGAAAGTTTACCTTATACCCTAATCAACATCATAATCTCTTTCTTTGAGTCTTTGACTTCAAACTGCTTGTGTTGTTAAAGAGACCACCCCATCATCAACTACTTCAGATCAAATCAACTCTTGGGTTCCAACTGATCGAGGTAAAGATTCCATTTTGTTGGGTTTTGAGTACAAGAAAATAGTTTTCTTTTGCATACTAGATGTTTGTTTAAATGCCGCAGTAAATATTTGCATGATGAATATCTGTGGTTTTATTCCTTTTAAAGAACTTTCCCAGATTCTAAAGCAAAGTCTTTATTGGCTCTGAATCGAAGAATCTCAGTTGGCCATGAACTGTGAGATCTAGGTGGGTTCTGTAGTTGGATAGCTGGAATTGTAGTGTATGGAATCTTAAGTGCTGGGTATAGTGGTTAACGAAGTGGGTTCATATTTTTCTTTGTGGGGGGAGATTTCAGGGTATTTTGAGGTTCAATTTTCATTGATTAGTGTGATATGTCAAGGTTGAAAGGTTTATACTTCATACAAATATTATAGACACCAAGTAAAAATAGCATTCTTTTTCGGTGACTATAGTCTACTAGCATTTCTTTGGTAGATAAAGATTTTAGGTTCCCACCATCTAATACATGACTTCTAAATGTGAGTTCTCCTATGTCTCTGACGAATGGTTTTAGAATTAATCCCGTGACTTGGGCATCACAATGTTGCTTCTGAGCTTGTGCTGGGACAATATCCAAGAGGTGAGCTTGGTATTCCAATGGCACTGGAACTACAGAAGCATGATAGCATGCCATGCTCTAGTTAATCTCAGATTGACTATATTTGACAGTTTCTGTGGGTAAAGACAAAATTGGTTTCCCTCTCTAACAACTAGGTTTTAAACATGAATTTTCCTTGCCTCTAACAAGGAGGAACACTTTTGTTTCAATCTACTAGTTTGTACTATTAAGCTACTTATACTAAGATTCTAACTTGATAATGATTACAAGATACTGAATTCATTACATTCAAAAGCTTAAACTTGCAAATTGTAGATGATTAGCTTCATTCTTACAAAACAAGGTAATGCGAGTATTATATATTGACTTCTTTTTGTACATTTGATCAGTTCAAATAAAGGTCTACCTATTGTTTTCGCAGCTTTCACAAAATTTGATCATATGACACTAGCTCTAAACTTTGTCCTGGGGAAGTGACTCTTGAATATTAACATTGAAAGTTGATCATGCTGGTCTAAACTTTGTCCTGGGGAAGTGATTCTTGAATATTAACATTGAAAATTGATCATGCTGGTCTATGGAGATATTTTCTATGTAGTATTTTTATTTTAATATAAAATAAAAAAATTTCTTGAGATAAAAAAGATTAAATTTTGAATCTATTGTTTAATGTTAGATATATTTGTGTTTACATGTATAGATTTGTGGAATTCTGATTATTCTCTTAATTGATATACAATGTACATTGAATTAAGTGCTATATTTTGTTGTAACTGTAAGGATAAGCAACAGCATGGATAATATTCTTTTGACATATGCACATTTTTGAATTAATTTTTGAAGCATGTTTGTCATCTCCGGTTCATGAAGCATTTCCTAATTAAAAAGTCTCACATTTTTTCTTTAAGATCAGATTCTTCTGATTCGCTAAGAATGACAAGGAACCATATTTATAGTGATTATGCATCTGCGTATAAGTTAGAACCAAATTATAACACGTCCTTAGATAAATATTCAATAAAACTTATCTAAACCCATTTCTAGATAAACTGGATGCATCATCTTATTTCTATCTTGATTTGTGCTATTTTTTTGCAGAATCCGTTAATGGAGAAAAAATTTGAAATAAAAGGGTCCACTCTCCTGGAAAGGATATGGGGTTTCTTTAGAAGATGCCTCTTTTTAGTTCTCTCCTTTGGTCCGATGCCTAGCCATATAGCATTCATAATGGATGGAAATCGTAGATTTGCCAAGAATAAAGGAATTAAAGAAGGCGGGGGTCACAAATTTGGATTTGCCTCTCTCATCCATATTCTCCAATATTGCTATGAAATGGGGGTCAAGTATGTGACTGTATATGCTTTCAGTATCGATAATTTTAAACGAAATCCAGATGAAGTCCAATCTCTGATGCATCTGATGCAGGAGAAAATTGATGAATTGCTCAAAGAAGAAAGTATTGTGAAAAAATATGAGATTAGAATTAATTTTTTGGGGAACCTGAAGCTTTTGAGCGAGCCAGTGAGATTGGCAGCTGAGAAGGCAATGAATAACACTGCCAATAACAAAGGACCAGTTCTGTCCGTATGTGTAGCTTACACATCCACCGATGAAATCATGCATTCCATTGAAGAATCATGTATGACTAAGAAGAAAAAGATACAAGATGGACATGCTAATGGTTATGACGATGATGATGATATCAGAGATTTCATTTCAGTATCTGAATTGGAGCAACATTTATATACAACAGATTGTCCTGAGCCTGATATTTTGATTAGGACTTCAGGGGAGACTCGTTTGAGTAATTTCCTTCTATGGCAAACTGCCTTTTCTCACTTGCAGAGTCCAGTCGCTCTATGGCCTGAGTTCTCTCTCAGGCACTTGGTATGGGCTATATTGGAGTATCAGAAGGTCTGCCCTTATTTAAGAGAGTTAAGAAGCAAAAATAAGAAGAACTGAGGGTGTGCTTTATGAAAGCTGTGTACTCTATAATTATTGCACTAATGATTCAATATGCTGTACACCAGTTGTAAGTTAAGCTAAGATATGGATCTGAAAGCAATACTTGCTAAATATGCAGGCTCTTGTACACTCTCTTGCAATGGAAGTGGCTATTTTTGTGAAGTTTCCTTTTTTCCTCTCTCTTGGCAGATAATTTTGATCTAGATTTGTGTTTGCTTTATTTTTAACTGTTTTTTAATAAACCTGATTAAAATGTGTTATCTTATGTGCATTATGCATTTTTTTACTTTCCTTGTATTGTACATTACTAATGGATACAAGTGCTCTTGAATTAGCCGAAGTCTGAAAAGGTTACAGTAATTACTCTTTTTTATCTTGTAAAAACTGAATGCTTCATGCATCGTTCTAAATAAAGCCATTAATATTGCTGATTTGAAAGCGGGTTGACACTGCTGTAGTATTTGTCTATGGACTCTATACTAATGTGTGAATCTTAATTAACCATTTAAAAGAAACTACTCACTTATTATGATTTCAGCAAGCATTGTCCCAAGACTTCAATCAGTGCATCTCCTGTGAAAGTTTCATCTTCATTGTTGTTTACCTGAGTTTCTTTCAATAATGGTTTGGTCTCTGAGGTTTACAGAATGCTGACCTATCTACTATCAATCTTTTATGTTCAGAAAAACCCCCAACTCTAAAGTTTTTACGAAATTGTTTTTTGATAAGGTTAAAGGGGAAAAAACCCATATGCCATCAAGGTGCCAGGTTGAAAAAATTGGATATATGATGGGGTTTTTGCATGGATGGTTGAAAATTTTGGGGGTTGTATGACAATTCCAAAATTTTGGGTGGTTATCACAAAATGACAAGCTTTTGGGGGGTTATGTAAGGTTTATCCTTGTCCTAAACCCACATGGTAACTATATATGACTGTCACACTCTCTGTTCTGCTAGACCACGTTAGCCCCAATTTCACCACAAAAGAAACCACAACCAAGTCTCTAATGCTCCGTTTAGATACCATGATGTTTTATTTGTTTCCATTGTGTTTTTGCCAAAAACAAAACAACATGCGTTTGGTAACCATAGTGTTTTTTTAGATAAATCATCCTCAAACTAAAAACACAACACTTATTTCAAAACACCTTTTAGGTGTTTTAAGTTTGGTGTTTTGATTTTGAGTTTGAGAATGTGTTAATATAATATCTAACATAATATATTAAATGTAATTAATATAGAGTTATTATCAACATGCTTATTATACTATACTATACTATATTATAGTTAATTTAATATATTAGTAATATTTATTAAATAATATAAAAATATAATAAATAAAATATCTTTTATCAATATTTAATATGTTAATAATGTATTATATAATAAATAAATAATAATAAAATATAAATAAACTAATAAAATATAATAAAAAAGATATTGATAATAATAATAATATAATAATGATATAATAATATACTATACAATAGTATAATCACTATAATATTATTAACTTTTAATAAATAAACTATAATAAATTAATAATTATAAAATATTATATAATAGTAACATAAAATATTATATAATAGTAACATATTAATAATACCATAACAATATAATAATATTATTATAAACATATTGTCTAGTAAATACAATATAATATATAAAATATTAATATATTATGTAATAAATAATATACTTTATCATCAAAGTTAAAATAATTTTAATAATAAAATAATTTATTGCTAACAAATGTTTAATGTAAAATAATATTTTCATAATATAATATATTTATTAATATCACAAATACAATAATATATATTAAAGTACTATTAATAAACTCTAACATATTAAAACATAATATATTATATAATATTAAATATTTATAATATATTAATTTATTATTAATAACATACTAGTAATAACATAATATTAACATTATTAATAATATTATATTATATGAATAATAATATAATATTCATATTATATTAAATAATAGTATAATATTATATTAATAAGAAAATAACATTATTTAGAAAATTTTAATATAATATCATACATAATAAATTTTGATTATACCAAGAATAACCATCTAAATATAAATGTATTTAAAATTAATAATGGTATACTTAATAATTATAATATAATATAACTCATTAAAGTATAATATAATATTATAATACATTATACAATATTATATTACATTACATTTAATACTTATAATACTATAATAATATAAACTAAATATTATAATATTTTATTTATAATATATTTTATTATAATTAATATATAATATATTAATTATATGTTTAATACTAATATTATAATGGCTCAAACTAGTGTTGACAAAAAATACTTACATTGTGTTTTAAAAATATTTTAAGGGAAAAACACAACACCATGGTGTTTTTTTTCAAAAACACAACAAGAAAAATACCATGGTATCGAAACGAAGCCTAAAATTATTGAAGTGTATTTTTTTATTTTTTATTTTTAGTATTTGCCCATGAATAACATTGTTGGTATCTTCTCTCAAAATTTTTGAAACAAATCTCCATAATCCTATACCAATAACTAATACTTGATCACCATTATCAATGCCTGAACATATTTACCAATCCCTGGCTATCAATTTTCCAAAGCAGCACTCACCATTATTTCCATGTTGGGACAAACCCGAGGTCCAATAGAGCAATGTCCCAGCGAATAATAGACCATAAGTAATAAAATGAACACAGAGATTTACGTAAAAAACCCCCTAAATGAATTTTGGGTAAAAACTACAGACAAAGATAGAAGAATCCACTATGAGAAAAATTTAGGAGTTACAATCCCTCTTCTCAATGAGAAACTCTCTCTATTTTTCTCTCCTTCTCTCTCCCTCTCTCTTTCTTTTCACTCTTAATTGGAGACACCGAGATGATAAGAACTTAACGCCAAGAAGAGCTATATATAGGTGAGTTTGCGATAGGTGCGCACTGTTGCTATAATGTTGCTACAGTAATATTTAGTAGCCCGCGGTTGGTGATTACTGTAGGGGGGCATGTGTTTACTGTAGCGACATGTGTTTACTATAGACACGTACAGTAACTTTCCATCAATCTCCCACTTGAAGATTTGATTGAGTATCAATCATATCTTCACATCATTCTTTCTATCTTGCCATTTTCATATTGCTCACGTCTCCGACAAACCACAAGAGGATCGACACAAAATAAATTTATCAGTATTAATTGCTTTTGTCAAAAAATCTGCTAAGTTGTCTTTGGTATGAATTTTCTGCATATCCACTGTTCCTTCTTCCACTTTCTCACGAACGAAGTGGTACTGAACTCGAATATGTTTTGTCTGTGATTGAAAAAAGATGGATTTCTTGCTAAATGTAAAGCACTCTAACTGTCACAAAATAGAGAAATCTTATTTTGTTCATGTTGAAGTTCCTCGAGCACCATCTTCAACCATATCGCCTCTTTACTAGTTTGTGTAGCTGCTACATATTCTGCTTCTGTTGTTGAAGTAGCCATAACTGACTGCAATTTTGAAATCCATCTTACAGCTCCGCGAGCAAGTGCAAACACATAGCCTGTGGTGAATTTGCTATTATCATGATTACATGCATAATCAGAATCAACATATCTAGTGACAATAAAATCTAATCCCCAAAACATAATGTAACATTTGGGGTTTTCTTAATGTATCTTAGGATCCTTTTATAACATTCCAATGCTTTTGACTAGAATTCGCCATGTATCGACTAACCACTCCCACTGTTTATGTAATGTCTGGTTTTGTACAAATCATAACGAATATTAAACTTCCCATTGCTGATGCATACGGTACTCGAGACATCTCCATCCTCTCTTCTTCACTGCTAGGACTCATACAGGAGGATAACTTGAAATTAACAGGAAGTGGGGTAGAAATTAACTTACAATCTTATATCTTAAAGCGTCACAAGATTTTCTTCAAATAATTCTTCTGAGAAAGCCAAATCTTCCTATTAATTATGTCTCGATAAATTTGCATCCCTAGAATCTTGTTTGCAGATCCTAAATTATTCATTTCAAATTCCCTAGCCAACTGCCTTTAATTCTTTGATACGATCTTTGTTGGGGTCTACAACCAACATGTTGTTAACATACAACAATAAGATAACAAAATTATTTTCACCAAACCTCTTGAAATATGCACAATGGTCTGAATTATGTCTATTGAATTCAAGGCTCATGATGAATGAATCAAATCTCTTATATCAACACCTCGGCACCTGCTTTAGATCGTATAGAGATTTGTTTAATTTACAAACCAAGTTCTCTCTTTTTTTCTTCAAAACCATCTGGGCGGAGCATATAAATTTCTTCTTTAAGACCACCATGAAGAAATGTTGTTTTCATATCTAGCTGTTCTAGATGTAAGTTAAATATAACGCTCATAGCCAGGACTATTCGGACTGTTGTAAGTCGAACTATAGGAGAAAATATTTTGTTAAAGTCAATACATTCTTTCTGAGCATATCCTTTTACCACCAATCTAGCATGATATCACTCTACTTGATCATCGTCATTTCGCTTGATCTTATAGACCCATTTATTTCCAATGGTCTTTCTTCCTACATTGCTACCATCCACAAAAATGCACCTGTATTATTTATAGCTTCATAAAAAGTTGATGGCTCTCCATCCTCTGTTAGAAGACAATATGTAACATTACTCTTCGTAATATACTCCGAGTGCCAAGTCGGTGGTCTTCTCTCATGAGTTGACCTTCAAACTTCTGGATCCTCGGACTCGACTGGTTCTTGTACATCATGCTCTGATGTTACTTCAGAAGAATTTGGATTTTCTACCTGAATAGCTACACTCTCTGAGTCCTTTATTGAACTGCTTTTTTTTTTCTTCACTTTGCAGTTGGTTCTCTATAAAGATAACATCTCTGCTGATAATAACCTTGCGGGCCGTGAGATCCACAATCGATACCCCTTTACTCCTTCAACATACCCTAAGAATATGCATTTTCTGGATTTTGAATTCAGCTTTGTAATTTCTTGGGCATGGTATATTACGTACATTGGACTTTCAAATATATGGAGGTTGGAATAATCAGTTGGCTTGCCTGTTCACATCTCTATCGGTGTCTTTAACTATATTGCAGTTGATGGAGGTCGATTTACCACATAACAGGTGATCTTTACTGCTTCCGCCCAAAAGATTTTATCCAGATTTGCAGTTGCCAACATTACTCTTGTTTTTTTCAATAGAGTTCTGTCCATCCGCTCCGCCACTCTATTTTGTAAAGGGATTGTAGGCTGTCTAAAAATCATAATAGATAGCTGATCCCCATCAAGCTTTAATGATGGGAGTTACAATCCGACGACTCCCATATCTCGATGATGAAAGTTACAATCAGATGACTTTTATGTTAACAAATGAAAACTACAAATGGAGGATTTTCACATAGATCGAGAAGAGTTATAATTCAAAGATACTCCCGACAACTGATGAAAACTCTATTCAGTGTTCTTCACAATCAACGGTGAGAGTTACAGTCTAACGACTTTCACACCCCATAACAGCTAAAGTAAAGGTTATTGAACAATAGTCCTTGCAACGCTCTACAGAAGAGGTTACAAGTCAACTAGGCCCTTTTAAACGTGGAATTCATTTTCGTGTTTCAATTCCTGAAACGCAGGCGACCCCCGTGTTTCCAAGCTTTAACAAGCAAAATGCAAGCGACCCCGTGTTTGCAAGACTCAACAAGCAAAACACAAGCGGCCCTCGCATTTTCGATATTTGGTCAATACCCAACTCTGCGTCTCAATCCTAAGACGCGGAGTTAGGGTCCTGAACGCCAAATTGGGTGTTTCCGAGCTTTCAAATGTCGTCAGAATCAAGGAAGCTTATGAGGATTCTGAGTCTGTTCATTTGGTGATGGAGCTTTATGAAGGTGGAACATTATATGAAAGGATTACTCAGATGGAGGATTGTGTTGTGTGCGGCGCGGAAGCGGTCGAATCACACACAATCCAAACAAGAGAGATCACAACCAAATAAACAAGCACAATCACCACGGAAGCGGTCGAATCACACACAATCCAAACAAGAGAGATCACAACCAAATAAACAAGCACAATCACCAAATAACACAAATCCAAACAAGAGAGATCACAACCAAATAAACAAGCACAATCACCAAATAACACAAGAGATTTACATGATTCGGCATATTGCCTACGTCCACGAGGCAAGAAAGTGGATGGGGTTTTCACTAATAGAGCAAGAGTACAAACTGAGATTACAAATTACTCGAAAGAACAAACTAATCTCACCAACAAGCTCTTAATCTCTCCAAACAAATAACTTAGAAAATACTTCTTTTCTGTGCTCCAAATATCCCCAATTTTCTTCTCTATTCTCTCTTCCAAATATTCCATATATATAAAAATCCTAAAATCATAAATATACTAGGAATTCTAAAACAAAAAACAAAACAAATTAGGAATCCTAATAACCTATTACCAAAATAGATTAGGAATCCTAATAACCTCATGTTACTAAAATAGATTAGGAATCCTAATAACCTCATGTTACCAAAATAGATTAGGAATCCGCTATCCAACAATTCTCCACATCGGCGAAGTTTTCCCAAAACTAAGCCGACAACAATACTAACCAAACGTCTCACTTGTTACGTCCAGTACGAAGTGGAACAAATCCACGACAACGGACTAAATCCACAACAAGTCGAGAACCCAAACGAGAATGCGAACAAACTCCAAATGTCGGTATCAACTCACCAAATCAGCTGCATCATAAATGACTGCTTACGTATCCTCTTGCCCAAGGAATCAAGCCTTCACGTAGTTCATCAAAACGGCATCCAAAGGCCTCAATCCACTAGAAAAGTTTGCAACCCTTCTCCAACATCACGATCAAGTCTACGGCTGATAGCACCTCCAATGGCTCCAAACTAAAATAATCCAAACATCTCCACCTGAGATGAACCAATGGCCATATCCAGACTACATCTATTAGCTGTACTCGAATCAATCAACCTATCATATGCATCCAAATCAACACGATTCCAAATCTGTGTCACATCATCTGGAATCCCAACTGATACAGTATGATCTGGAGTTTCCACCCCATGTGGAGTAGCATCACTCTCCACCAGCTGTGATGTCCTAAAGATCTGATCACCACTCTCCACCTACCGAGAGTCAAACGTGACATACTTGCTCAGAAAAAAGTTAGAAGCCAATACCTGATAATCAAACACGTCTCTGAATCCTAAATGTGCTATCAGATCAAATCCCATATCCACGATGTGACCAAATGCTGGGTAGCCAAACATCCGACGTAACCCAAAATCTAAAGCAGCTCCACCAGATCCCATATCTCTACATACAGCAGTCGGTAACCTATGACCGAGATGACCCAAATATGTCGAAGCTCCAAAACCAATGCCAATGCTAGACATCAAATACCTATCCTCCTCCAGAAAGGAACAGCTCCGCAAATCTACCATCTCATCACGTCGTCTTAAAGTTTCCACACCAATGAAGTGTCTCCTATTGCCGTGAGCTCGACACAATCGTAAGAAAGAACCCCTACCATAATCAGAACGTCGGGTCATCTTTCTACCAACATACTTCCTCCATCTGTTACGAGCTTCTAGGACTTCACACCAACGAGACTTGGTTGTAACCCACTAATGCCTAGAGCAATCCTCAACTACGAAAACCACATACCTATTACCTCCCAATGATGCTCTCTTATAAGGCCCCCGAATGCCTGAATGAACACCCCTCAGAAGACCCCTCGAATGATGGATAGAAGTACCAAACTCTACCTCGGTCTTCTTGATCATACCAATGGGTTTACAGGACTTCAAACTGCAGGTCAAAACACTCCTCAACAACCTATACACGGCATTACCAATCAAATAACCCAGCATCAAACAACGTCACAGTCTAGACGAATCTAATAAAGTCGTCAGCTCCCTATCAATCACCGTGCATCCGAGCAAATAATACAAATTGCTCTTTCTGACGCCCTTCATCACAATTATGGACCCCAATGTGACCTTCAAGCGTGCGTCCACCAAGGTCACCCTATAACCTACTGCCTCCAAAGCTCCAAGTGAAATGATGTTCATCTTCAATTGCGGAACGAACCTTATATCATCCAACTCTCGCATCATCCCATCACTCATCCTAATCCGAATAGTATAAATACCACCAATAGAGCATGCATGTCCATTACCCATCATCCCATCACTCATCCTAATCCGAATAGTATAAATACCACCAATAGAGCATGCATGTCCATTACCCATGAGCACGACATCCTCTCTTTCCAACTTCTAAAAGGTGGATAACCAATCCCTCCTAGGACAAACGTGGTAAGAAGCACCCGAATCCAACATCCACTCCGTAGAGTCGGCATCACAAACTGATGATAGTGTGGATAACGAATAGCCTGAAGAATCTGAATCTGAATTGTTACCACCAGTCTTGACAACATTCACCTCTAAACCTTGTACAACTTTCCCCTTATTCTTCTCGGCTCAATCCAACTTTGGGCATTCAGCTTTCCATTGTCCATCCTCTTTACAAAAGGCACACTAATTCCTATGAATCCCACAATGTGTACCTCTAGACTGTAACCTCCTGCTTCGGTTTGAACCATGGCCTTGAACTACTAATGCATCTCCCGATGCCTTCTCGGAGGACTCATCAACACTCTTCCTCAACTCATAATTCACCAACACTGAGGTCACCTTCTTATAACTAACAGTAGTTCTTCCATTAATCATAGTGAGAACAAAGGTACCATAATCATCCTCGGGCAACGAACACAAAAGTAACATCGCCTTGTCTTCATCCACAACCATAATATCCACATTGGCCATGTCTGAAAGTATCTTCGTGAAGTTGTTAACATGCTCCCTGATGGAAACTCCCCTCTTCATCTTGAACTGGTAAAGCCTCTTCTTTAAGTGAAGCCGATTCTCAATGCTCTTAGTAAGATACTTTTCATTGAGTGTTTCCCATATCTTCTTCGCCGACGTCTCGTTCATTACATCATAAATAAGATTCGACGTCAAGCATGGCCGAATAACTCCACACGTCCTACTATTCATCTTCTTCTAAATCTTTTCTTCCATATCAGCAGGTTTCTCTTGCAACTCAAGAGTCTCTTCCAAGTTTTGAGCGTCCAACGCATCCATCACTTGGCACCTTCACAAACCAAAATTGATTTTGCCATCAAACTTTGGAACATCGATCTTCATGTTATTGATGCTCAAACTATGTATCGTTTTCGTAAGAGAAGATCTCGTTGTGCTTGCTTCACCCATGTTGTCGATCAAACTCTTCAAATAGGAATCCTTTCAAAGAATCCATCAAACAAGCCTCATGTCGAACCCGAAGCTCTGATACCAATTGTTGTGCGTGGTACGGAAGCGGTCGAATCACACATAATCCAAACAAGAGAGATCACAACCAAATAATTAAACAAGCACAATCACCAAATAACACAAGAGATTTACGTGATTTGACAAATTGCCCATGTCCACGGGGCAAGAAAGGGGATGGAGATTTTACTAATAGAGAAAGAGTACAAACTGAGATTGCAAATCACTCGAAAGAACAAATTAATCTCACCAACAAGCTCTTAATCTCTCCAAACAAAACCCTAAACAAATAGCTCAGAAAATACATCTTTTTTGTGCTCCAAATATCCCTAATTTTCTTCTCTATTCTCTCTTCCAATTGTTTCATATATATAGAAATTCTAAAATCATAAACATACTAGGAATTCTAAAACAAAAAATAAAACAAATTAGGAATCCTAATAACCTATTACCAAAATAGAATAGGAATCCCAATAACCTCATGTTACCAAAATAGATTAGGAATCCTAATAACCTCATGTTACCAAAATAGATTAGGAATCCGCTATCCAATAATTCTTCACATCGGCGAAGTTTTTCCAAAACTGAGCCGATACCAATACTAACCAAACGTCTCACTTGTTACGTCCAGTACGAAGTGGAACAAATCCACGACAAAGGACTCAATCCACAACAAGTCGAGAACCCAAACGAGAATGCGAACAAACTCCAAATATCGGTATCAACTCACCAATTCAGCTGCATCATAAATGACTACCTACGTATCCTCTTGCCCAAGGAATCAAGCCTTCATGTAGTTCATCAAAACAGCATCCAAAGGCCTCAATCCACTAGAAGAGTTTGCAACCCTTTTCCAACATCACGATCAAGTCTACGGCTGATAGCACCTCCAATGGCTCCAAACTAAAATAATCCAAACATTCCAACATCACGATCAAGTCTACGGCTGATAGCACCTCCAATGGCTCCAAACTAAAATAATCCAAACATCTCCACCTGAGATGAACCAATGGCCATATCCAGACTACATCTATTAGCTGTACTCGAATCAATCAACCTATCATCTGCATCCAAATCAACATGATTCCAAATCTATGTCACATCATCTAGAATCCTAACTGATACAGTATGATCTGGAGTTTCCACCCCATGTGGAGTAGCATCACTCTCCACCAGCTGTGATGTCCCAAAGATCTGATCACCACTCTCCACCTGCCGAGAGTCAAACGTAACATACTTGCTCAGAAAAAAGTTAGAAGCCAATACCTGATAATCAAACACGTCTCTGAATCCTAAATGTGCTATTGGATCAAATCCCACATCTACGATGTGACCAAATGCTGGGTAGCCAAACATCCGACGTAACCCAAAATCTAAAGCAGCTCCACCAGATCTCATATCTCTACATACAGCAGTCGGTAACCTATGACTGAGATGACCCAAATATGTCGAAGCTCCAAAACCAATGCCAATGCTAGACATCAAATGCCTATCCTCCTCCAGAAAGGAACAGCTCCGCAAATCTACCATCTCATCACGTCGTCTTAAAGTTTCCACACCAATGAAGTGTCTCCTATTGCCGTGAGCTCGACACAATCGTAAGAAAGAACCCCTACCATAATCAGAACGTCGGGTCATCTTTCTACCAACATACTTCCTCCATCTGTTACGAGCTTCTAGGACTTCACACCAACGAGACTTGGTTGTAACCCACTAATGCCTAGAGCAATCCTCAACTACGAAAACCACATACCTATTACCTCCCAATGATGCTCTCTTATAAGGCCCCCGAATGCCTGAATGAACACCCCTCAGAAGACCCCTCGAATGATGGATAGAAGTACCAAACTCTACCTCGGTCTTCTTGATCATACCAATGGGTTTACAGGACTTCAAACTGCAGGTCAAAACACTCCTCAACAACCTATACACGGCATTACCAATCAAATAACCCAGCATCAAACAACGTCACAGTCTAGACGAATCTAATAAAGTCGTCAGCTCCCTATCAATCACCGTGCATCCGAGCAAATAATACAAATTGCTCTTTCTGACGCCCTTCATCACAATTATGGACCCCAATGTGACCTTCAAGCGTGCGTCCACCAAGGTCACCCTATAACCTGCTGCCTCCAAAGCTCCAAGTGAAATGATGTTCATCTTCAATTACGGAACGAACCTTATATCATCCAACTCTCACATCATCCCATCACTCATCCTAATCCGAATAGTATAAATACCACCAATAGAGCATGCATGTCCATTACCCATGAGCACGACATCCTCTCTTTCCAACTTCTAAAAGGTGGATAACCAATCCCTCCTAGGGCAAACGTGGTAAGAAGCACCCGAATCCAACATCCACTCCATAGAGTCGGCATCACAAACTGATGATAGTACGGATAACGAATAGACTGAAGAATCCGAATCTGAATTGTTACCACCAGTCTTGACAACATTCACCTCTAAACCTTGTACAATTTTCCCCTTATTCTTCTCGTCTCAATCTAACTTTGGGCATTCAGCTTTCCAATGTCCATCCTCTTTACAAAAGGCACACTAATTCCTACAAATCCCACAATGTGTACCTCTAGACTGCAACCTCCTGCTTCGGTTTGAACCACGACCTTGAACTACTAATGCATCTCCCGATGCCTTCTCGGATGACTCATCAACACTATTCCTCAACTCATAATTCACCAACACTAAGGTCACCTCCTTATAACTAACAGTAGTTCTTTCATTAATCATAGTGAGAACAAAGGTACCATAATCATCCTCGGGTAACGAACACAAAAGTAACATCGTCTTGTCTTCATCCACAACCATAATTTCCACATTGGCCATGTCTGAAATTATCTTCGTGAAGTTGTTAACATGCTCCCTGATGGAAACTCCCCTCTTTATATTGAACTGGTAAAACCTCTTCTTTAAGTGAAGTCGATTCTCAATGCTCTTAGTAAGATACTTTTCATTGAGTGTTTCCCACATCTTCTTCGCCGACGTCTCGTTCATTACATCATAAATAAGATCCGGCGTCAAGCATGGCCGAATAACTCCACACATCCTACTATTCATCTTCTTCTAAATCTTTTCTTCCATATCAGCAAGTTTCTCTTGCAACTTAAGAGTCTCTTCCAAGTTTTGAGCGTCCAACGCATCCATCACTTGGCACCTTCACAAACCAAAATTGATTTTGCCATTAAACTTTGGAACATCGATCTTCATGTTATTGATGCTCAAACTATGTATCGTTTTCGTAAGAGATGATCTCGTTGTGCTTGCTTCACCCATGTTGTTGATCTAACTCTTCAAATAGGAATCCTTTCAGAGAATCCTTCAAACAAGCCTCAAGTCGAACTCGAAGCTCTGATACCAATTGTTGTGCGCGGCACGGAAGTGGTCGAATCACACATAATCCAAACAAGAGAGATCACAACCAAATAAACAAGCACAATCACCAAATAACACAAGAGATTTACGTGGTTCGGCAAATTACCTACGTCCACGGGGCAAGAAAGAGGATGAGGTTTTTACTAATAGAGAAAGAGTACAAACTGAGATTACAAATCACTCGAAAGAACAAATTAATCTCACCAACAAGCTCTTAATCTCTTCAAACAAAACCCTAAACAAATAGCTCAGAAAATATCTCTTTTCTGTGCTCCAAATATCCCCAATTTTCTTCTCTATTCTCTCTTCCAATTTTCCATATATATAAAAATCCTAAAATCATAAACATACTAGGAATTCTAAAACAAAAAACAAAACAAATTAGCAATCCTAATAACCTATTACCAAAATAGATTAGGGATCCTAATAACCTCATGTTACCAAAATAGATTAGGAATCCTAATAACCTCATGTTACTAAAATAGATTAGGAATCCGCTATCCAACAGATTGTACTGAAAAAAGGCCACATGTTTGATTAAGACAATAGCTGAAGTCGTGGAGGGTTGCCATTCTCTTAGAGTGATGCATAGATATCTAAGGCCTGATAATTTCTTGTTTGTGAGTAAAGATGAGGATGCTGCTCTCAAGGTTATAGATTTTGGGATGTCAGTTTTTTATATGCCTGGTTAGTATTGAGTTTTTCTTGTTTCTTGTTTCTTATTAAATTTGGGTTTTAGTTCTTTTTCTAAAATCTTGAGGTGAAGAGCTGTAAATGTCTTAATCAGAACTTCTGACAAATGTGGATTGCATAATCACGCATTTTTGTCTTATCGGCTAAATTAGTTGATAGTGAATTGATAACTTTGGCAAAAAATATACAAAAGTTAGATAATTGAGCACAGTTTGGCTAAATTCTTATTTTTGTTTATTTTTTTCATGGTTATAAGAGGAAGATTTTTATTATGGTCGCTACATGCTTGTAAGTTATTTATTGGTATTATTTTGTTCTTGTTTACCGTTTATATTGTGTAGTTCCCATGAATGCATTGAAATTGATTGAAAATTTTGGGTTGTTTTTTGTTACTCATATTGTTTCTGGACAATGAAGAAAATCTTTAAGGAAAGGTAGATGTCCTAATCAAAACTTCTGATAAATGTGAACGCACTTATTTATGTCTTATCTTTTAAATTATAGTCGATAGAGAATTACACCAATAATTCAGCACATCTTGGATAAATTCTTGCTTTCTTTACTCTCTTCATCATGTGAGGAAGTCTTTCTTTCTGATAACCACTTTATTTAGCTTGTTTCTGTTCTTGGATTAAGCACTCTTTCTCATATTAGTTTTCATTAAGGGTTTTTATGATCATTTTTCATCCACATTATGGTCAATGGACTGACATTTTTCATATAGGGTTGTTAAAGTTAAGCAAACATTTTGTAGCATAAATTTTTTTATTGTATTCTGATCTTACTAACAAGTTTGGAAATAAAATGCCCCTGCTAGTGTAGTCTTTAGTTTTCCTATTGTTAAGACTCTATTTGGGATACCATATATAATTACATTGTTAACCTGCTTTGTAGTGGTCTTCTCTCTAATTTTTTCAACTTTTGTATACGTGGATGTTATGAACTCCTAATTTCTTCAACTTTTGCTACATCATGTCTGTCCAAATGACCAGAATGCCTCTGATGGAATAACCCCTTTTATGTCTTTTTTGATAATTATAAGGTAATATCATAAACCATCTTTAAGTTTGGTCCGAGCTCTAACCCTATCCCCCATTTAATTTAATTTAATTTAAGAATTGCAATGTTAACTTGACATGGTATTTTGGTCTTTTGCGAGTTCAACGGAGCCATTGAAAATATTTGGGCGGGCTTTCTGAAAACCCCGGAACTTTAGGGGGGTTAAATAACATTTTTTAAGTTTAGAGGGGTAATCTCAATATAGACCACACTTAAAATGTGGATTTTGTGAAATTTAGTTCTGTACTAATCTTTTGAACTTCAGGTGATGCATTTTGCGGTTTAGATTTGTTGACATATTAGTATTGTTAGGGACTTAATTGTAAGTTTTGTAGGGGCCTATATAAAGCCCAAGAGATCTCATAATGAATTAGGGGTTTTCACATTCTTTATGGTATCAGAGCCACCAAAACCCTAGCCGCCGCCCCCCCCCCCTTCTCAACCGGCTGCCCTAACTTCCCCCCCCTGCCTTCTCCCTCGTCCTGGCCGCCCGCACCTCCACCATCGCGCAAACTCTATCCTCTGTTCAGAACCCCCCCCTCCTCCTCCCCCTAACTCCGCCACCCCCTGATCCTGATTTCCGCCTCATGCAAACCCTGTTCCGCCTCGAAACAGCCCCCTGTTCCGCCTCCCCCCGTCGCTGCATTCCCTGCTGTCCGATCCAACGCTGAACAGCCCCCCTGTTCCTCCTCCCTCTGCATCCGATGTCAACCTAGACCCCCCCCCTTCCTTTCTCGATCAACCAGATCCCTTCCAAAACACCTGACTCGACCCCAAAACCGCCTCGTGACCTGACCCCCCCTGACCTTCGAACAACCCTAAAACAGGCCTGTACTGACCGCTTCTAGCCGCCGGCTTGCCACTCGAACCCGCCCCTGTTACATTCCTGTCGACCTCGAGTTTGGCATGGGTTCCCTTGACTCAGTCCTCGAACTGATGACAGGAAGAGTTTATATCTCACATCGATGAGATATATAACTGGTTTTGATTCTTGTTTCCTCTGAGATACGAGAATTTGTTTGAGCTCCTACTCTTGTTGTGCAGCAGAGGTGCTGCCGAAATTTTTACTGCACACAACAAGGGTTGGAAGAGAAGGTGAACAGGTGGTGGGTCTGAAGCCTATTCGATGGAGGAGATCATCAAGAAGTTGAACCCCGCGGAGGTGTCAACTTTGATGAAGCTAATGAAGTTGTCGGCTGGTGAGAGCGCGACAAAACCATCGAAGAAGTTGGAGCTTCCGACCATCGATCTGAAGCTTGATGGACCGAATACGTACCTGAGCTGGTCGCGACGGGTGAGATACATCCTTACAGGGAGGAATCTGGAGGGTTATCTGACAGGAGAGGTGACAGAGCCGGAGGAGGACTCAGAGGGAAGAGATGAGTGGAAGTCCACTCATATGTTGGTATACATCTGGCTTCTTAATTCGTTGGTCCCGACGATCGCCGCCACGGTGGATGGCATTGAGAGGGTGAAGGACGTCTGGGAGAAGTTGAGAAGGACATATGATGGAGTCGGGAATAACCTGAGGGTATTCCAGATTAAAGGAGAGATCGACGCCACAGTCCAGGGAGAGAGGATTGTACAGGAATATGCTACAGAATTGGAGCGTCTGTGGCTGGATTATGATCATTTTTCCCCTCGAGCTAGCTGCAAGGACCCAGGGTGTAAAGAGCGGGCGGCCTTTCTACAGGAGAGGACTATGGTATTTCTCAAGGGATTGACATCAGAGTTCGCTCAGCGAATCGCATTGCTGCTAGCTCAGCCGAAGATTCCCACGCTTGAGGAGGCTGTCTCTGCTATGATCCAGGAGGAGACTCGCATTCGGCTGCAGGCGGGGACAGGTGGACTTCCTGTGGTGAAGTCAGCAATGGCAGCCTCTAGCAACACTGGATCTAGGGGAGAGACCCGACAGTGCTACAACTGTGGTGCGGTGGGTCATCTACGGCATGCTTGCACCAAGCCATCCAAGGATGGGAGGTGGAAGAGGAGCAGGAAATCGGGCGAATCTGACGGTAGCAGAAGAAGAAGAAGCTGAGGTGGTCTTTACAGAGGAGGATCGTGCTCTTCTCACGATACTCAGGAAAAAACAGCAAACAGTAGGGGATGGAAATTTGAGGAGTGGGACTGCGGAGGCATCCACTTCGTTCTTCGCCAGAGGCAACACTGCTACCTATGCTCATCCGACCAAAGGTACTAATGACATACATGCTCTTGCTTCTATGTCTCCCGACAGATCATCAGAGTGGATAGTCGACTCCGGTGCGTCTCGTCATGTGACGGGTAATGCTAGTGAATTCTCATCATATACTCACTTAGCATCGCCTGATAGTATTCAAACAGCTGATGGTACATTTCAGCCGGTGGTTGGTAAGGGTACAGTAGATTGTACTGGCTCTGTAACTTTGTCCAATGTTTTGCATGCTCCTTCCTTTCCAGTCAATCTTTTATCCATTAGTTCTATCATCCTCCAACTAAAATGTATTGTTTCTTTTGATATTCCAAATGTGATTTTCCAGGAGAAAGGGACAGGACGGAGACTTGGGACTGGCACATAAACAGAAACTTGTGTGTGATGCATGTGAGTTGGGAAAGCTTACTAGAAGCTCTTATGTTAGTTCTGGTCATAGAAGTTCTCATGCATTTGACCTGGTACATTCAGATGTTTGGGGGCCTTGTTCCACAAGTTCTATGAATGGATACAAATATTTTGTTACATTTATTGATTGCTTCTCTCGTGTTACTTGGTTATACCTGATGAAGAATAAGAGTGATGTGTTTGGGTGCTTCCAAAATTTTCATAAGACTGTTCAGACTCAATACGGAGCAGTGGTGAAAGTATTGAGGTCAGATAATGGGACAGAGTATACCAACAGAGCCCTTGAAGAATATTTGTCAGCTCAAGGAATACATCACCAGACAACCTGTCCATACACTCCAGCACAGAATGGGGTAGCGGAAAGGAAGAACAGACATCTTTTAGAGGTTGCTAGAAGCATGATGATCTCTATGAATGTCCCAGAGACATTATGGGGACAAGCAGTATTGACCGCAGCAGCGTTGATCAACAGAATGCCCTCGAGAGTGCTGGATTGGAAGTCTCCGTGTGAGATATTGAAGGGAGATAATGGTGGGATCCTTCCACTCAAAGTGTTTGGCTGTGTGTGCTTTGTGAAGGACAACAGGCCATCTGTCGGGAAGCTTTCCCCTAGAGCTGTGAAGTGTTTCTTTGTGGGATATTCTGCTACTCAGAAGGGATATGTTTGCTGGAGCCCGGTGGAAAAAAGGTTGTTTGTGAGCATGGATGTGCACTTTCGAGAACTTGAGCCATATTACACCCAGAAGGTAACTTCATCTGCTGGTAACTCGCCCAATACTAGAAGTATGGGGCGAGAGGAGGAGAATGATGAGAGACCGGAGAACAATGTGGAGAAATCCATTTCTGTATCGATTCCTTGGGAGCGAGAATTGGTTGAGGAGGAGTTGGTTGAGGAGGAGCAGGAGAATCACGAAGAAAAGGAAAATGAGACAAGAGGTGTTAGGCCCACTGTTCAAGGGGAGCTACTAACCTATAGTAGGAAGGGCAAACAAATTGGAGAAACAGTATCTACAGTGCCACTAGTGCTGCCAAGTCTCTTGCCGACGCCCACCCCGACTCCTGAAATACCTACACCACCAATTTCATCCCAAGGTGATAACATTCCTACTGATAACATTCCTCTCCCTACTCCTCCCACACCAATATCACTACGGAGGACTACTCGCAGTAATGCGGGACATCCTCCCGATAGATATGGTTGGGATCTTGCCCAATATGTATCATATTCTAGTATCCACCCTGCATATGGAGCATTCATTACATCATTGGACTCTGTTACTGTACCTAACAATTGGCAGGTTGCTAAGAAGGACCCAAAATGGAAAGCGGCTATGCACGAGGAGCTAGGAGCTCTAGAGAAGAACCGCACTTGGGAGCTAGTAAAGTTACCAGAAGGAAAGAGAGCAGTTGGATGCAAGTGGGTCTTCACTGTGAAGCAGAATCCAGATGGACAAGTTGAGCGCTACAAGGCTCGCCTGGTGGCAAAAGGGTATAGTCAGACATATGGCATCGATTATGATGAGACTTTTGCACCGGTGGCGAAGATGAGCACTGTTCGGACCTTAATCTCTCTGGCAGTAAATGGTGGATGGAAGCTACACCAACTAGATGTGAAGAATGCATTTCTTCATGGAGATCTAGTGGAGGAGGTATACATGGAGATACCACCAGGATTTGGTACAGATCAGACAGTGGGAAAGGTCTGCAGATTGAAGAAGTCTCTCTATGGTCTGAAGCAATCTCCCCGTGCTTGGTTCGACAGATTCAGAAGGGCTATGATTGATATGGGATACCAACAGATCAACGCCGACCATACAGTGTTCTTTCGACGGAGTGGAGGCCACATTACTATGCTTGCCGTATATGTAGATGATATGATTATTACAAGGGATGATGAGAAGGAGATTGCCCAACTCAAAGTGAGACTGGGTAAAGAATTCGAGGTGAAAGATCTTGGCTTGCTTAGATACTTTCTTGGAATAGAGATAGCTCGAGGAGCGGAGGGGATCGTCCTATCGCAGAGAAAGTATGCACTGGATCTTCTCAAAGAGACAGGAATGTTAGGGTGCAAACCTGCAACCACACCGATTGAGCAGAAGTTCAAGCTAGATGCTGAGGCTGGAGAACCAGTTGATCGTGACAGATATCAGAGGTTGGTGGGAAGGCTGATCTATTTGAGTCACACACGTCCTGATATCTCTTTTGCAGTAAGCGTGGTGAGTCGCTACATGCACGATCCGAGGAAGGGTCATATGGACGCTGTGTACCAGATTCTGAGATATTTAAAGAGTGCCCCCGGAAAGGGGCTGATATTCAGAAAGAATGGACATGTGAACATCGAGGGTTATTGCGACTCTGACTGGGCTAGCTGTGCTGATGACAGGAGGTCCACCTCAGGATACTGCATCTTTATAGGAGGTAACTTAGTCTCGTGGAAGAGCAAGAAGCAGTCAGTGGTGGCGAGATCGACAGCTGAGGCAGAGTATAGAGCTATGGCCTTAGGAGTTGCTGAGTTACTATGGTTAAAGAGTATGCTGGTGGAGCTGAAGCTGGATCAAGGAGCTAAGATGAAGTTATGGTGTGACAACAAGTCAGCGATCAGTATTGCCAACAACCCAGTGCAGCATGATAGAACCAAACACATCGAGATCGATAGGTTCTTCATCAAAGAGAAGTTGGATAGTGGACTACTGGAGCTAGGTCATGTTTCGACTAAGGACCAGGCAGCAGATTGTCTGACTAAAGGACTCAGCTCAGTAGATATGATTAGAGGATGTGACAAGATGGGCTTAATAGATATCTTTCGCCCATCTTGAGGAGGAGTGTTGACATATTAGTATTGTTAGGGACTTAATTGTAAGTTTTGTAGGGGCTTATATAAAGCCCAAGAGATCTCATAATGAATTAGGGGTTTTCACATTCTTTAAGATTGGAACTCTGTATATGCTGCACCGGAGGTATCACTTGAACATTATGGCCCAGAGGCAGAAATATGGAGTGTTGGAAAAATCTTACACCTTTTGTTGATCATTTGTGCAGGTACAGTGAAATTTGGTACCTCTATTTTTGTACCTTTTAAGGGTAAACTCATGGAAACATCATGAAAGTTTTTTCAATAAAGTGCCATGTCTAACAGTTGTTACATTTTTGTCCTTGTGTACCTTATATATCTTCTCTGTTATCCTTATGAGTTTTGTGGGCAAAGATATATAGATGAGCGCTTTACTAACAATTTTATAGCTCATGGTGTTTTATGCACTTTTTGAATGCTCATGATACCAAATATGTTATACTTATCTCTCATGTTAATTTCAGATGCGGGAGATGAGGCCTCCTCGTTGATCATACAAAAGAATGTTGATTTTGAATCTGAACCATGGCCGTCCATTTCTGATGGTGCTAAAGATTGTTAGAATTAGGGGTGGAAACAAACCTCCGCCGGCGAAGAGGAGCTCCGACGAGCTCCGACGAGTTCGATGGTCGCAGGCGAGCTCCGGTAGCCCAGGCGAGGTTGTCGACGACCAGACGCAGGCGACAGGACGAAGCTCGAAGCCCCCAGCTCTGCGTTCGAGCGATGGCGAACTCTGCGTCACAGCGATGGCGAGCTCTGCGTTCGTTCGAAGATGGCGTCGATGGCGAGCTCTGCGTTTTTTGGGGGGGGTCCGAACTCTGCGTTCGTGCGAAGCTGGCGTCGAAGTGAACTCTGCGTTCGCACGAGTTTGGCGTCGAAGCTATCGCTGGTGACAGGCTGTCGCCAGCTCCTCCTCCTCATCCGCCTATAAAAGGAAACCCAAGCTAGGGTTTTCGGCGCTGATTCTCCCCCCCTCTCCTCCGATTTCTCCTTCTCCGGCGGCGGCGATCTGCCCTAAAACGCAGCAGCGTTTTCCCCAAATCGCAGTGGCGATTTTCCCTCTTAATCTCAGCTTCCAACAGTGGTTGTTAAAGGGGATTTAAGAGAGAGAGAGATTAAATAAGAAAGAGGGGTTTTATTGTGAGAGAAATTGAAAGGGTTCATACCCTTTGATTATTAACACTGTAGCTACAGTGTTCAATCTGAGAAATCTCAGTTTAGAGATTTGCTCTTGATTTGTAATTTCTTGTTAGATTAAATAAGAAATTATCTGTGTGGCTCCCGAGGACGTAGGCAGTTGCCGAACCTCGTAAATCTTGGTGTACTGTTCTCTATACCGCGTTTCCGTTGCATTAGGGGATTTAGGCGTTAAATTCCTAACAAAGATCTCCTTCTTAACATGCTAAATCCTGATCCCACGAAAAGATTTACAGCTCATCAAGTTCTCTGTGAGTATTTTGGTGAGTTTTTAATCATCAAATTTTGTTAAGTGTGATTGAAGTTGGTAATATCTATGTGCAGGTCACCGATGGATCGTTGGTGATGGAGTGACTCCTGAGAAACCTTTGGACTCTGCTGTTTTATCAAGACTGAAGCGGTTCTCAGCAATGAAGAAATTAAAGAAGATGGCTTTGAGGGTAAGCCACTATTACTTTGTATAGTGTTTTCAAATTGTTCCTGAAAATTGTAACTTGGGAGGACCTTTTTCCATAAAGCTTACATTATGGTATTTGACATATTTGGTATGTATTATATGCTTATATATTGCAGTTTATAGGAGAAAAGATGTCAGACGAAGAGACCGGGGGCCTCAAGAAATTGTTCAAAATGTTCGACACATACAAAAGTGGGACAATAACATGTGATGAACTAAACAAGGGTTTAAGAAAATTAGGCTCAGATCTCATGGAATCTGAGGTCCAAACTCTTATGCAAGGGGTATGTATTAATATTCAAAATACCTTTCCATAATAAATCCATTTGACAAGTTGCTTATACATTTTTTTTATTTATGATAGGCTGATATAGACAACAATGGCACAGTAGACTGTAGGGAATTTCTCTCTGCGATGCTTCACGTTAATAAGTTAGAGAAAGAGGAGAACTTGAGGAATGCTTTCTCCTTCTTTGACGAAGACAAGAATGGCTACATAACCATCGATGATCTCTCACAAGCATGTAAAGATTTTGGCGTCAGAGATGTCAATCTTGATGAAATGATCAAAGAAGTTGACCAAAATAATGTAGGTTCAGTTCTCTACTATCGCAAAACTTGCAGGCGTCACTTGCACAAATTTGTAATGAACTCTCTTTATTGCAGGATGGGAAGATCGATTACAGTGAGTTTGAAACTTTGATGAGAAAGGGAAATGGAGGAAATGGAGGCATTAGCAAGAAGAACCAAGCAGGAGAGTCTAAATGTTGAGGAATTCAGAATACAATGATTAGTATGAGAGATACAGAACGTTAAATAGCTTGGAGAAAACATTGAACCGATAGGAATTCAGAATACAATGATTAGTATGAGAGCTTCAGTAAACCCTTCTGCTGGAATGTGTAATTAGTTTAATACCATTTTGAATGAGTAAATGATGAAGTAATTGAGTAAATAGAATGGCAAATTTGTAGATAATTTTGGAAAATTCATGTTATTGTGGTACTGTGGTAAGAACTACTTGTTCTCCCTTTTTAGTCCTATGACGCTTACATATTTCCTTTATATCTAGAATGCATGCATCAAATTCTTTTTAGCTGAAGGATGATTCACTGAACCAGGGAGCAAAATCTACAATCCCATGTCCACTATACAAATGAAAAAAAATAATGAAAATGCATAATAAAAAATACACACGTTGATAAAAAGAATTTTGATGGGTCTGAAGTCAGCTTGAGATTGTCTTTTATGTAGCACTAAAACTCCCCATATTTTGGTCCCATATTTTGGGTCCTTAAAGAGTTTTTCTTTGTAGAAAACAAACAACATATTTTGGGTTAATTACACTAAACCACCAATAACTTTCAAAATGCATATTTTTGTTGTCTCTAATTTATGGGTGTAATCTACAAAATTCGGACTGTTCTTGGAGGTTTTCTGCAATTTCAAAAAGTTATTTAGGATTTAGTGCAATTATGAAAGTTCATTTGGTGGGGGAGGGGGTTACTGCAAAAAGATGAAAATTCACGGGGGTTAATTACTCTTTTTTCCGGTCAAAGAAACTGGGAAGCAATTTTTTTCCAACTACAGGGTGCGTGAGGCAATTTTCCTGATATAAACACCCACGCTAACTGTTTTAACGGCCACATTTCTCTGCCCTGCTGGACCACGTTAACTCCAGCCTCATCTCCAAACAAACCGCAACTAAATTTAAAATTTTTACTCCATTCTCCACCCCTAATCATGAACCAGCGGATCATCAGAACCCAAGTCCCGTGTCTCTTTTTTTAATTCCCCACAAAACCCAACAGCAAATTCTCATATCATACACAATCCTAGAGTTTTCCTTGTTCCAATGAGCAAACAGAATCCAACCCATCAAAAACTCAGAAGCTTTTTGATCTTCAAAAACCCCATCAAACTCCAATCTTCATAAAACCCATTCTTCAAACTCAGCCTGAGAACCCATCAGCAAGAACCATTCTTTTTCAAGAAACCAATCTCAGCACTCATTTCTTGGCAAAACCCAGGTTCTTGTTTCTTTTAAGATGAAGAAATCTGATCCAACTCCTCCTCCTTCTTCTTCTTCTTCTTATTGTTCTTCTTCTTCTTCTTCTTCTTCATCAAAACCATCCTCTGTCCTGCATCACTTGACCCCAAACCTCACAGATCATTATACACTTGGTGAGGAAATTGGCCGGGGTTCAAATGGCACTACTTACATCTGCATTGACAAATCAAACAGTAAACGATATGCTTGCAAGTCAATCCTGAAGAGCACGCTCAGTTCCAAAAAATATTTTGATCATGTTCTGAGAGAGATAGAGATAATGCACCATGTCTCTGATCTTCCAAATGTGGTCAGAATCAAGGAAGCTTATGAGGATTCCGAGTCAGTTCATTTGGTGATGGAGCTTTGTGAAGGTGGAGAGCTGTTTAACAGAATTATGGACAAAGGTCCTTTTACTGAGAAGAAGGCTGCAAGTTTGATTAAGACCATAGTTGAAGTTATGGAAGGTTTCCATTCTCTTGGGGTGATTCATAGAGATCTTAAGCCAGAGAATTTCTTGTTTGTGAGTGATGATGAGGATGCTGCCCTCACAGCTATTGATTTTGGGTGGTCGGGTTTTTATGAGCCTGGTTAGTATTGAGTTTTTATTGATTCTTGCTTATTTTTGTGTAACATCATATTTGGGTTAATCTTGGAGGGGAGGGATGGAGATATCCTAACCAAAGCTTCTGATAAATGTGAACTTTCCAAGTATATACTTATTTATTTCTTATCTGTCACATGATTCAGGACATCCAGGATAGTTTCTTGTTTTGTTTATTTTCTTGGTCACAGGAGGAAGTCTTTCCAAGCATTTTATTTAGTTTGGGACTGCTCTTAGTCTTGGATTATTACTTGATTGCTTGAACATTCTGCAATTTTTTAGATTTTATTGAGTTTTCTCGTGGCTTTGGAACCTGAAGCCTGTACTAATACTTTGTTTTTTTTCAGGTGATATACTCTGCGATGTGGTGGGGACTATACAATACGTTGCACCGGAGGTATTGGACGAACGTTATGGCCCAGAGGCAGATATATGGAGTGCTGGAGTGATATTATACGTTTTACTCTGCCGTGAATATCCATTTTCTGCAGGTACATTGAATATGGCACCTCTCCTCTCCTAGCGTTCTTTAGAGTAAATCTTACAGACAGTACCATGAAAACGTTGGGTGAATTTCAGAAAACCATCTTTAAGTATGGGAGTTTCTCAGATAACCCCCCTTTTAACTTTAAAAATGTCACAAAACCTCTTTATGTGTTGGGGTCCTCAGAAAACCCTGTTCAATTTTCAATGTTTTCTCAGAAACACCCCTTAATGGCATCAAATACATTCTCACATGTGTAGGTAAGATTACGCTGGGAGATATATATTTTTTAAATGTTGAAAGTTGAAAGGGTTTTCTAAGAACCCAAGACTTGGGGTGGACACCGGGTTGGGGTAGCGGGAGGTGGGAGCTTGGGGTTGGGGGTGGAGGCGGAGGTGGGGAGGGGGGGGTTGGGGTGTGTGTGAGGGAACTGCCCCAAAGCTTAATGGCAGGTTTTTGTGGAAATTTACCCAATCATTTAAGAGTACCTTGTCTGAGAATAGTTGGAGTTTTTTCCCCCTAACGTATATCCTTTTTTGTCCTTAGGAACTTTGTGGGTTGATAGATATAGATGAGTAGTTTACCAACAATTAATTAATCTTTTCCAGAGAATAATTAATCTTTTTCCAATGTAAATCAATCATTATTGCAACCGAGAACCACGAAGAGAGGGGGAAGCACTATCACGTAGGAATATGGACAAACGATGCGTCAAAGAACACACTCAGAAATCAAATAAGAAAGACTTTTCCAGAGTGGGAAGGAAGAGCCATAGAAGTGAGTGTACATAAAGGGTGGGGATCCATATGTAAATACACGTTAAAAGAAGATAAAAGAACCAGAAGTGTGGGGAGAGTTTACCTTAGAGCAAATAGAGGAGGTTGGGAGGGCACAAAAGGATAGTTCATGGTAATTCTTTTGCAGTTTTGAAATGTCATGATAGTTTTCTTTGATAAAAATAGTTGTGTGGTAGTTTTCTGCATAACCGCCCAAAAGTTCACATTGATTTTGCAAATTTTACGTTTTTTTCTTATTCAATACCAGTGTCATACTTGTCTGTCATGTTCCCTTCAGATGATGAACTTGCGACTGCCAAGCAGATCAAAGACGGGCATTTGGATCTTGAGTCAGGCCACTGGCTATCGATTTCTGATAATGCTAAAGACCTAATACGTAACATGCTAAATGTTGATCCAGAGAAAAGATTTACACCTCATCAAGTTCTCTGTGAGTATTGTAGTAAAATTTTATTTACAAATTGTTTGTTAATTATGATTAAAGTCTTTAATGGTTATGCCAGGTCATGAATGGATCGTTGATGCCACTGGAGATGCTCCTAAGAAACCTTTGGAGTCTGCTGTTTTATCACGACTGAAGGGGTTCTCATCAATGAACAAATTGAAGAAAATGGCCTTGAGAGTAAGCTACACTTTCAGGATTTAACAATGTTCATGGTTAAAATATGCTTAACTGCAATTTTGCAAGACATGTATAAAGTTTAGTAGGAGATGGACATGCCCACTGTTTTAAAAAACCTCCGTCTAGTCCGCTTAGGCGTACGCCTAGGTTTAGACGGTACCTAGGCCGCCTAACTAGTGCCTAGCACCTAGACGGTATTTAGGCTGCCCATCTAGATTTTACGAGCGTTTAGGGGAGCATTGTTTGCTTATGTGGATTGCACTCTATAAGTCTTGATTGTGATTTTATGTGTCGTAGCCTACACATCCTCCAAACTCCATTAACCTCCAAATATGAACATCTCCACTACCTCCTCCGACCTTCAGCAATTAACCTCCAAATATGAACATCTCCACTACCTCCTCCGACCTTCAGCAAAACCTCATCGATCACCACTTAAATGAAGAAAACATCTCCACTACCTCCTCCGACCTTCAGCAAAACCTCATCGATCACCACTTAAATGAAGAAAAAAAATGCCCAGAAACTGCTTGGACGCCCGCTTAGGCAACTAAACGCTGGGCGCCAAGTCCGACGCCTAGAAGCGCCCAGCGTTTAATGTAACACTGGACATGCCTATTCTCAATTAACAAATTTTCTCAGGTTATTCTGCAAATTTTACTTTTCAAAAGAATTTCTTAAGTTTCAGTTTGTGGGTTGCTTTATAATTATTTTAACAACCTGACTCCAGCCTTCAATATTCTTCTTGATGGAATCTAAGTTATACACATCTTTTGAAATGGTTTTTTGTGTTTTCATATAAGTTACCCAGTTTTGTAAGGTAATTCCATTTTATTCACATTTAAACAATGATTTATAGGCTATAGTGGGCCGCTCTAGAATGTATCTGTTTCCTGATTTTTTTTACCATTTATGTGTTTACTGATTTTTTTTAACCATGTATATGATTTGAGGATCTTTTTCATAGAGCTTCCATTATCGTGTTTATCATATTGGGTATATATTATCTGCTTGTATGCTGCAGGTTATCGTGGAATGGATGTCAGAAGAAGAGCTAGCGGGACTAAAGAAATTCTTCAAAATGTTCGACACAGACAATAGTGGGACGATAACATATGATAAGCTCAAGCAGGGTTTGAGAAAATTAGGCTCGGATCTGATTGATTCTGAGATCCAGGCTCTCATGGACGCGGTATGCATTAGGTTACTGTATGAAAGTTTCCTTTCATAACAAAACTATTTGACCAGTTTTTATAAATTTGTATATTCATGACAGGCTGATCTAGACAACAATGGCACAATAGACTGTAATGAATTTCTCGCTGCGACACTTCACCTGAATAAGCTGGATAAAGAGGAGAACTTGAAAAAAGTATTCTCCTTCTTTGACATAGATGGGAATGGTTATATCACCGTTGACGATATCTTGCAAGTGTGTAGAGGTTTTGGTCTTGGTGATGTTAATCCTGAAGAAAGACCAAATAAATTGACCAAAACATTGTAGGTTCAGTTCTCTGCTAACGCAAACTTTCAGACATCACTCAAACAAATTTCTAATGAGTTCTCTTAATTGCAGGAAATGATGAGAAAGGGAGCTGCAGGAAATGATGTCTTGAAAGATGCAGACCACTAAATAACTTTGGGCAGACATGGTACAAATAGGAATTCATAATGTAGTATGTGAACTTTTAAGAAGACCTGCAGCTTGGTATTTTGATGAGTTGCTGTGGAGGAGAGTTTTGGGTAATGTGCCATGTGTAACTAGTTAATTTCAGTGGCTAGAGATGGAAACTGCTTACAGGAATTAATGTCAGCTATACTACATGATGTACAGAATACTGTCGTGACAATATTTTACAGCTAATTGAAGTGAACTAAGAATAGCGAAACTGCACTTTGCATTGAATCTAAGTTGTATGTATGGAGACAGGTACTGGTAGGAATACGGATACGAGACATGGCAAAGAAGATACAGGGACATGAATATATACATATATTGAAATTAATAAATTTATATGAGGTCAATTCTATTATCTATTCAAATGTTATGAGAATTAAAATTTCTATGACGTTTTATGTACTTAATGTAAATTATAACTTGGAAAAAATGTTAGTTTTTGTACAGATACTAATTTTATGAAGTGAAAGTGAGGTGTAGGATAACTTCCAAGAAGTGTATGACAAGTGTTTCAAATTAGAGCATGTATTATGCAACCGAGTACACGTTTGAATAAACATAGCCATATGTTCAAGGAGTGCCCGAGGTGTGTTGGTGTCCGAAACATATATATTACATGATAGAAGTGTTCAATGAGTGTCAATACGTATTGGTGTGTGGTATAGATTGGTTACTTGTACGGCTTCACAATAGAAGTACCCAAGTAACTTACAATAGAAGTGTTCTCTGTTTAATCCCATTCGTAGAAGTGCATAACAAGGAATAAAGTCGTGGGTCTGAACTACTTTAAAATAGTATCCGGACTATAAGAAAAACAAACATGGCCTAAAAGGATAAAATTCTTTTTTCAGTTGCTTTTAGATCTGTAGAAATTTAAGAAGTTTACCCCACAAAAAAAACCCCTTAGTTGAGATTAATTAGAATTAATAACAGCCAAGTGTGATTGACATGTAGGCATGCCACATTTGTTGTCTCATAGGTCTACCTCATTTTATCAGTCCTCCCAGATTCCTGTGACTAAATTTCCTGTAACATGAATGCATCTGTGAATTAGGTTGATTAAACTTTGAGAGTCAAATCTTGATAATTTCTTTATTTGCAAATTTAGAGCTAATGATAATTCACTTGACTAATCAACAGAATCTACAATCCCCATGACCACGTTAATCCTAGCTAATGAACAATGCATAATAAAAGATACATATATTGATAATAAAAGTTTTGACGGATCAATTCAGCTTGAGATTTTTTTTCCGAGTACAGGGAGCTTGAGGCAATTTTCCCAACTGTATTAACAGTCACACTCTCTGCTCTGCTAGACCACGTTAATCCTAGCTCCCCTTTCAAACAAACCACAGCAAATATCTAATTTTTACTTTGTTCCTTCACCAATCATGAACCAGCGGACCATCAGAACTCAAGTCCCTTGTCTGTTTCTTGATTTCACAGAATCCAACAGCAAATTCTCATGTCATGTATATAAAGCCTACATTTTTCTTTACTCCAATGAGGCAGACAGAATCCAACCCATAAAAAGAAAAGGAAAAAAGAAATCAATCTTTTTCAAGAACCCCATAAAAGGCCAATCTTCATAAAACCCATATCTTAGTTTCTTCAAACTCAGCCTGAGAACCTATCAGCAAGAACCAATCTTTTTCAAGAAATCAATCACAGCACTAATTTCTCGGCAAAACCCAGGTGCTAATTTTGTTCAAGATGAAGACTTCTTTTCAGACTTCTTCTTCTTCTTCTTCTTCTTCTTCTTCTTCTTCTTCTTCAACAACGCCATCATCTGTTCTCCCTCAAAAGACCCCAGACCTCACAGAGCATTATACACTTGGCGAGGAACTTGGCAAAGGTTCATATGGCACTGCTTACCACTGCATTGACAAATCAAATGGCAAAGAATATGCTTGCAAGTCAATTTTAAAGAGAAATCTCAATTGCAAAGAGTATGATTATGTTCTGAATGAGATCGAGATCATGCATCATGTCTCTGACCTTTCGAATGTGGCCAGAATCAAGGAAACTTATGAGGATTCTGAGTCTGTTCATTTGGTGATGGAGCTTTGTGAAGGTGGTGACTTTTTTAAAAGAATTATAAACAAGGGCCCTTGTGCTGAGAAGAAGGCTGCAAGCTTGATTAAGACTATAGTTGAAGTTGTGGAAGGTTGTCACTCTCTTGGGGTGATGCATGGAGATCTTAAGCCAGAGAATTTCTTGTTTGTGAGTAATGATAAGGATTCTTCACTCAAGGCTATTGATTTTGGGTCATCGGCTTTTTATAATCCTGGTTGGTGTTAATTTTTTATTCTTTCTTGTTTATATTGTGTAATGTCACATTGGGTTTGAGTTCTTTATGACAGGCAAATGAGCACATCTTGGCTAAATTCTTGCTTTCTTTATTTTCTTGGTCTTAGTAGGAAGTTTTTTCTTATAACCACTATAGTTGGCTTGTAGTTTTTTTTTATTGTATCACATTTTTCTTCTTTCTTGTTTATTTCGTGCTAAACCATGAATGCATTGAAATTAACTGAAACTTTTGGTTCTAGATTTTTGTTACCCATTTTGTTCCTTAGCAATATAAGGAAAACTGGAAGGGAAGGGATGTAGATGTCTTAATAAGAACTTCCAATGAATGTGAAGCATATAAGTATATACGTATTTGTGTCTTTTCTGTTAAATTAGTCGACAGGTAATTATGTCAATAATTCAGCTCATCTTTGATAAATTATTGTTTTGTCAATTTTCTTCATACAGCTAGTACTAAGACTTTTGTTATGTTTTGTTTTTTGTTTTCAGGTGATATATTATGCGATGTAATTGGGACTTCTTATTATGTTTCACCAGAGGTAGTGGAGAAACATTATGGCCCAGAGGCAGATGTATGGAGTGCTGGAGTGATCTTATACATTTTGTTGTGCGGTGACTTTCCTTTTTATGCAGGTACATTGAATATGGTACCTCTCCTCTTGTACTTTTTTAGAGTAATCTCAAGGAAATACCTTGAAAGTATTTCACTAAAGTACCATGCCGGACGATAGTTAGGAGTTTGTCCTTACATAGTTTATATATCTTCTCTGTTATCCTTACGAAACTTTGTGGTTAATAGATATAAATAAATAGTTTTATGGTAGTTTCCTGCAAAACCGCTCGAAGTTCATGGTAGTTTTGTGAACTCTACAATTTTTCTTATTCAATACCAGCGTCATATTTGTATGTCATGTCACCTTCAGATGACGAGGATGAGACCTTCAAGCAGATCTTAGAAGGGCGTTTGGATTTTGAATCTGATCGATGGATACCCATTTCTGACAGTGCTAAAGACCTGCTACGTAACATGCTAAATGTAGATCCAACGAGAAGATTTACGACTCATCAAGTTCTCTGTGAGTATTTTAGATAATTTTAATCACCAAATGTTTGTTAAGCATGATTGAAGTTTTTAATGGCTGTGCCAGGTCACCGATGGATTCTTGATGCTGCTGGAGTTCCTCCTAAGAAACCTTTGGAGTCTGCTGTTTTATCACGAATGAAGCGGTTCTCAGCAATGAAGCAATTAAAGAAGATGGCCCTGAGAGTAAGCTACTATTATGGTAGTTGACACATTGGGTATGCATTATCTGCTCTACATTGCAGGTTATAGCAGAAAGGATGTCAGAGGAAGAGACGGGGGGCCTAAAGAAACTATTCAAAATGTTTGACACAGACAATACTGGGATAGTAACATATGATGAGCTAAAGGAGGGTTTGAAAAAATTAGGCTCGAATCTGATCGATTCTGAAATCCAGGCTCTTATGGATGCGGTATGCATTAGGATTCAAAATACTCATGCACGAATAGATAATAATGACTGTGCTGACACATATGTCATCAAGTGTCATCCTCACATTCCTCAGTACATGATACTCTGAAGAGAGGGCCCTCATTAGGATTTTACCATTTTTTACATTTTTAATGATAATGAATCCATTGTCTTAATAGTGTACAGGTTGATATGGACAACAACGGAACATTAGACTGTAATGAATTTCTTGCTGCGACACTTCACCTGAATAAGTTAGAGAAAGAGGAGAACTTGAGGAATGCTTTCTCCTTCTTTGACAAAGACGGGAATGGCTACATCACCATCAATGATCTCTCACAAGCGTGTACTTATTTGGACATCAGCAATGTCAATCTTGATGAAATGATCCAAGAGATCAACCAAAACAATGTATGAGTCTCTGCTAATGCAAAACTTTTAGGTATCACGTATAGCAAAATTCTTATCAATTCTCTTAACTGCAGGATGGGCAGACAGATTATAGTCAGTTTGCATCTATGATGAGAAAAGAACTGCAGGAAATGATGTCTTGAGAGATGCAAAACATTAAACAGCTCGGAGAAAACATTGTACAAAAAGGAATTCAGAATGTTGTATGGGTACTTCAAGGAAACCTGCTGCTTGCGTTTTGATGAGTTACTGTGGAGCAAAGTTTTGGGTGATGTGCTATACGTATCTCCTATTCAGTGGCTAAAGACAGAAACTGCATGATGTACAGAATATTGTCATGACAATGATTTAGACATATCTCCTATTTTCAGTTTGCAGGCGTAAATTGGTCTTTAAGATGTAGGAATGATTTAGTATTTGAATAACACTTTAGATAAATTAGTTGATTTCAAGCTGACTTTAATGCTGCAACCAGACTGTGATGCATTTGTTGAGAGGAAATGGGGTTGAAAATTCTGTTCACTGGTTCAGTGAGTCATTTCATCTAAAAATCTAAATCAGCAAATAATAACATTCTCTTGCTCTGACTCTGCAAACTCAAACGACAGAACCTCCACATAATAGTAACAAGGAGAATATTGAGAATCAAAGAATTCCTAAAATCCGATGATATTAAATTCAAACAATTTACAGAATCAAGCCTACCAACTGGTAGTGCTACAAACGGAATTAAGAAAAAAGCCGTCTTCAAAAGCTTCTAACATTCTCACTGATGTTACTTACTAACTTCTACATGGCATTCTGCAACACGAGTCCTCTCTAACTGCCTACTGCAAAAATCAGATGAACCCTTCATAACAACTCCAAGGTTCGAAGTAGAAACAAAAGTGCTGAGCCTCTCTCTGAGCAATGGTGAAAGCAAACTACAAGAAATAAGAGGCTCCAAAGATCGAATCACTCCTTTCCTCACAAGTATTCCAAATGATGTCGATGCTCCCCTAGCAATCATTTCCTTTCGATGAACATCATAATTATCGACTAACAGAAACAAAAACTCCAGAAGGGTGTGAGTGATATCAACATATTGTGGCAAAGAATTCACCATCAAGAGCATTGCAGGCTCTATATTCATAATATTATCCACCTTCTCATCAAAGAACAGCCAATCATAGAACAAAGCAAGCTTCACATTTGCCAGAAAATAGTTCTTCCTACAACAAGTCAGAAGCCAACCAATGACTGCCCATCTTGATATAACATCTGAATGAATAATCTCATTCGAAGGATGATGAGCACAACATATAAACCGAACAATGTCAATAATAACAGTTTCACTACCGGGCAAACTTAAGTGTTTCTTAGCAAACCAAGCTTGATATCTCTTCTGATTCCCCCATTTCACATGAGTAAGCAAAAATCTCAAGTGGGTCTCCATTTCAGGACTAATTCTTAGCAAAAAATACTGACTTGAAGTCCTCACACAATACAACTGTGAAATATCTGTAAAGCCCGGTACCTGAAATTTACTAGGATCAAACAACAAATCTTTCCAAATTTCTCTAAATTCCGGGATAAAAACCAAATCCTGCAGCAGCCTAACCAAATCTCTACCAATTTTCATACACAAAGCAAAGCGTTGCCTCAATGCCTTCACACAAAAATCAGCCTCCAACCTCTTCAAATCATCCAAATTCCCAATACCCACCAACCTGTAATGATCAGATAACAACCTGAGAAACACAAACACTGCACTCTTCAATACCAATGGCTGCTCATCCAACAACCGATCCCAATTTTGATCGAAAATTTCGAGAAGTTTAACGCATAACCACAAGTTGGGCTCAGAGAAATCCCCACCAGAGATCTGCCTCAATAGAGAAATCAACAAGGAATCAACTTTCACTGCAGACACTTGAACTAATTGGGATGTGACCCAGATGAGCTGGGCTCTTGGGGTTTCGGGGAGTTTATGGTAATTTTGGTTGGTGAGGTTGATGAGAGTGGTCGTGAAGAGCTTGTACCCATCAACAACGATAGCGTGGAGATGGGTTATATGGGTTTTGGCGAGATTGGGCTCAGTTAGGGTTCCGTAAATTAGGGCAAGATTGAGATGAGAGTATTCAGTTGGGGATGGGATCTTTAAAGGGAATGGGGGTCTCAATTGAGATTGGCAGAGGGAGAAGGATTCTTTGAGGGAGAGATCGAGTGGGTTCTCCGATTCGTGGGGGTTAATTTTAAGGAGTTTGGATTGATTCATGAGGAGGAAGGGGGATTTCGGGGATAAAAATGAGATCTTTGTGCGTTTTTGACGAGGGAATTTGGGGATTAGAGATTTACTAGTGGTTTTAATGAGTGGGTTTTTGCATAGTACAGATGTAGCTCAGATTGTCCGAACGTTCTAGCCTGACAACTTTACTTAATGCACTCAATAAGTACAGATGTTCTGTTCCGTGTGCAAAGTTCAGGGGCTCTTATTTAAAACCCTTCAACGTTTAGGATGTTTCTAAAAATTTATACAATAATAACTACTCACTGTAGCTCAGAACACTTAAAACAAAACCTGATTTTTTGCCCGCAGCATCACGACTTTCGTCACGGTTCCAAACGGCTGCAACAACTGGAGCAAATCACTCTGCAAATAGAAAAAAAATTAGAAATTTATTCATTTAAAAAGGAAATATAGGATCTACAGCAATTAATGCACCTCGGCGATCTCGTGGCCGACGTTTCGGACGTGAATGACCTTGGACGGCTCCGCCATCAAACCCTAACGGCAAAGAAATCAGAGAAAAGACGGAAACTTTGATGGATCGAAGAAATTGGGGGCTTTGTTAGGGTTTTGGGAGTAGAGAAAGAGTAGATGGATTCGATTGACCGGGGTTTTTTGGCTAAGATTTTAGAGAAAGAGTAGACGGATCGGGAGCTCGAAGATAAAAATGAGAGAGGTTTGGTTGCCCTAATCTGCTGATTTCGCTCTTGTGTCCTTTTATAGATCGGCCGAGGAGAACTAGTGGGTAAATTTTATGGGCCCCCTGAACTTTTTGAATTTTGCACGTAACGTTTCGGAAGTTCGTGTAGGTTTTCTGTTTGGATTTTATCAGAACAACCCCGTGCAATTGGGTGATTTATGGCAGTCAGTGCCGGTAGGGGCTTAGTTTGAAAATTTTTAGGGTTTTTTATTTCTAGGCCCAAATGATTACCCATCTTTACCTATAAACCCATTTACTATTTCATGTATCCATAAACCCAAAGATCTTTGGGTATTTATCTTTAAACCCAACTTACAAAATACAATACTTGTAAGTGTGGGCCCCCCAAAATTTTTTAATTAATTCCAACTCTACCCTTTACACTTTAATAATGTGTTCTTTATTAGGTGGGCCCCTTTAAAAATGTAAAATATTAAAAATTTAGAGAGAGAGGCCCCTTTAAAAATGTAAAATATTAAAAATTTAGAGAGAGAGAGAGAGAGGAGAGAGAGAGAGAGAGACCCGTTCCCTGTTCCTCTACCCGCGCGGGAGAGGAGAGAAACGGCGGGAAATATATCCCGTTCTCTCCCTCCCTTTCTCTCTCTCTCTCCATTTCCTAATTAACTCCCTCTCCCATCCATTAATACTACATTCTTCCTTTAAACCCATCAATTAATTTTCACCCATTTATCAATCCTTCATTAAATTCTCAACTCCATTAATGTGTGTGTGATTTTAGTGGATATTCATCACTTTCTTAACAATTGAAGGTATAATTTTGCAATTTACTCATCTACCAAGTTTATTGCATTAATTCATCCTCTTATTCATGAATTATTTGACATTGCTATTCATGTAAACTAGTTAAATTTGTTATATTTGACAATATAACAAATAAAAATCATTTAAAATTGTTATTCATGAATTCATAAAAAATAGTTAAATTTGTTATATATTTGATAAAAATGTTAGTTACATTTGTTACTATTCAACCACTCATTAATTGAACATAATTTCACGTTAATTAATTATTTGACATTATTAGTTCACATTAATTTCTCATTATTAATCCTGAATTCATAAAAATTAGTTTCACATAATATTTGATTAATTTCACATAATTGACATAAATTTTTTTTTTATATTTTTAGTTAAATTTGTTAGTTACATTTTTGACTATTCAACCACACATTAAGGAAAAATTAGTTTCACATAATCTTTGATTAATTTCACATAATTAACATAAAAATTAGTTTCATATAATCTTTGATTAAATTCACATAATTCACATAATTTTTTTTTATATTTGATAAAATTTTAGTTAAATTTGATTTTATTCGATCACTCATTAATTCACATAATCTTTGATTAATTTCACATAATTTGATTTTAGTTGTAATTTTCCTTAAATTTGTTTTATTTTTAATGACAAACATAGATAGATGGATGAAGAATTGTATTGTGCATTGACCCACTACACTTACAGTCTAAGCCGTTACACTTATAATATAACCCGCTACACTTACAGTCTAACCCGCTACACTTACAGGATAACCCGCTACACTTAAAGTCTAACCCGCTACACTTACAGCATAACACGCTACACTTACAGGATAACCCGCTACACTTACAGCATAACACGCTACACTTACACTCTAACCCGCTACACTTACAGCATAACACGCTACACTTACAGTCTAACCCGCTACACTTACAGTCTAACCCGCTACACTTACAGGATAACCCGCTACACTTACAATATAACATGCTACACTTACAGGATAACCCGCTACACTTACAGCATAACACGCTACACTTACAGCATAACACGCTACACTTACAGCATAACCTCCTACACTTACAGTCTAACCAGCTACACTTACAGTCTAACCCGCTACACTTACAGTCTAACCCGCTACACTTACAGCATAACACGCTACACTTACAGAATAACCCGCTATACTTACAGTCTAACCCGCTACACTTACAGTCTAACCCGCTACACTTACAGCATAACAAGCTACACTTACAGAATAACCCGCTACACTTACAGTCTAACCCGTTACACTTACAGCATAACATGCTACACTTACAGAATAACCCGCTACACTTACAGTCTAACCCGCTACACTTACACTCTAACCCGCTACACTTACAGTATAACACGCTACACTTACAGCATAACCCGCTACACTTACAGCATAACACGCTACACTTACAGTCTAACCCGCTATACTTACAATATAACCCGCTACACTTATAGGATAACCCGCTACACTTACAGTATAACCCGCTACACTTACAGCATAACACGTTATACTTACAATATAACCTGCTACACTTACAACATAACACGCTACACTTACAGTCTAACCCGCTACACTTACAATATAACCCGCTATACTTAAAGGATAACCCGCTACACTTACAGCATAACACGCTACACTTACAGTCTAACCAGCTACACTTACAGCATAACCCGCTACACTTATACTCTAACCCGCTACACTTACAGGATAACACGCTACACTTACAGTCTAACCATAACCCGCTACACTTATACTCTAACCCGCTACACTTACAGGATAACACGCTACACTTACAGTCTAACCAGCTACACTTACAGCATAACCCGCTACACTTACAGCATAACCCACTACACTTACAGCACAACACGCTATACTTACAGCATAACACGCTACACTTACAGCATAACACGCTACACTTACAGTCTAACACGCTACACTTACAGTCTAACACGCTACACTTAAAGTCTAACCCGCTACACTTAAAGTCTAACCCGCTACACTTACAGTCTAACCCGCTACACTTACACTCTAACCCGCTATACTTACAATATAACCCGCACACTTAAAGGATAACCCGATACACTTACAGCATAACACGTTACACTTGTGTAACTTGCTACACTTCCAGTGTAACACGCTACACTTGCAGGATAACCCGCTACACTTACAGGATAACCCGCTATACTTGCAGTGTAACTTGCTACAATGATTTGTTTTATTTTTGATGAAATTTTCCTTAAATTTGTTTTATTTTTGATGACAAACATAGATGGATGAAGAATTGTATTGTGCATTGACGGATTTTAGAGGAAATAATCACTTCTTAAAATTAAATGTCAACGGGAGTTACAATGATTTGGCGGTTGCGGTGCAAAGTCTAATTGCTTGTAATGCAAGCATGATGAAGTTGACTTACAAAGTACCCCACACACAAGAAATGTATGTGCGTGTATGTGATGATGATGATGTATTGATAATGTTCAATATACATCGATGTTGCAAGGAGAATGTAGTTGTCATGAATGCTGACATGGATCGAGAGATATTATTTGGGCAACAATGTAATACTGTCCATATAAGGTAATTTACGCATTTGATATACATTAATACTTTTACCATCAATTTTAAAGTTATGGATTTCTTTAAACTCTTGTACAATTTTTTATGCAGGAATCCGTACATCCCTTCTAGTGAAGAACATGTATCTTATTCACAAAATCCTTCTTCTTCACAAAATATGTCTCGGGAAGTTGGGAGCTCTAGTATGATTCCTCTTGCATGGCACAATGCAATTAGAAGTGTTGGTCAAGAATTTGATGATGTTGAGCATTGTCGGCGGAGTTTAAGTAATTACTCTATTGCACGAGGGTTTAACTTTGCTTTTGTAAAAAATGAACGTAGAAGAGTGACAGTAAAATGCAAGGCCATAAACTGTGCTTGGATGGTTCATTGCACCCGCCGTAGAGATAGTGATATATTCTATGTAAAAAAAATTTGTGGTACTCATAGTTGTTTGGGAGGAGGCATAGGAAAGGAAGGATATAGCCGGGCATCTCGCAAGTGGAATGCTAATCATCTCAAATCCATCTTAAAGGAACAACCCACTTATCGTCCTATTGATTTTCAGAAGAAGCTTAAAGCAGAATTTGGATTGGACATCCCTTATCATAGGATTTGGTGGGGAAAAGAGCTAGCTCAACGTGAATTGTATGGTGATACTAAATATTCATATGACCAACTCCGATGGTATAAAGATAAAGTTATGGAAACTAATCCGGGATCAATTGTTCACTTAGAGCATGAAGATGGAAGATTTACAAGAGTTTTCGTATCTTATTATGCTTGTTGGAAGGGGTTTATGGAGGGATACAGGCCAATGTTGTTCTTGGATGGTACTCATCTTTTTGATAGGTATGGTAGAGTTCAATCTAATCAAAACTTGCATTAATGTACCATTCTTCATAAATTTATTATACTTTCATTCATAATTGCTACCATACCGGTTGTATTATAGGTATAAAGGAACCTTTACGAGATGAATGTGTGCAAATTATGAAGAGGGCTGCTTATGCATACACTACTCGTTCCTATAACAATGATTGCAACGAGCTACGGAACAAATCTGAGATCGCCTATAATGAATTGTTGCGGATGAGTCCAGAAAATTGGGCTAATAGCTATTTTCCTGGGAAGAGGTTAATATGAAAGTTTACTTACAATTTTAAATGCAAATCATTTAGTTATATGTACATCTCTACTTACCATTTATTGACATGCATGTAGATATGGATGGTTGACATCAAACCTAGCGGAGTCATTCAATGCTTGGATCAAAGAAGCTCGTTATTTGCCAATTACCCAAACACTTGATAATATTCGTAAGAAAATGATGAGGATGAGTTTCGAAAGGCGGGAGGCATCCCACAAGTGGACCACAACATTTGTTCCTACTGTGGAAGAGCACCTCATTCAAATCAATGAGCAATCACGTTGTCTTTTTGCTATTCCTTCTACTACGGGAAGGTATGAGGTCTATGATTTCCCTACCGTTGAAGTAGATTTGAATGAGCGTACATGCACTTGTCGTGAATGGCAAGTTGTTGGGCTACCTTGCAAACATGCGGCTACGGCAATTCGACAAAATAACGACATACTTTACTCATAT